AATTAAGGTTGGTTCTATTGTGCAAGGATGCAATAAAATACAAATCTGATATATTATTCACTTCATTTACTTTATGAACAGAGCAAACGAAATTACAAGTACAGACCTCATTCTTCATTGTTGGTTGAATAGCCGAAGAAGTATCATTCTTATAGTCTTTAGGCATTCCTTCAGTTGAAACATACAATTACCTATGAGCTCATTCAATACCTATGAGTATTCAGTTCTTTTGAATGCATGCGAATAAATTTTGAATTGTCAAAGACAGTATAACATATTGTAAGCCTGTCACCATGCTCCACAATATAATTGTGGCTTAATGAACTATGCACCCAGCTGGAGATGAGCACTAGATCAATGTCAATAACTTTCACAGAAGAGGTGTGGCTGACTAACTATCAAATAGAATTTTTAGTTGTTGTTTCAACCAGAGTGAAGGTTACCTACATAACGTATCGAATGTTTAGCCTGATGAAAGTTGATAATCAAGGTGATCATCATTACCATCAGTTACTAATGAATGCTCAGTTCTTGTCACGGAACAACAAGAACGTGTGCAAGGCTACCATACACACAAATATTCAGTTACTGGTTAAACACAAGGGATAAGATATATGTTTACATGATTAATCAAATTTAATATACAATTATAATTTTTCAATATTATAAGCCATTCTTCTTTCGCTCCTTTCCGCTTTTCTTTGCAAAAAAGAGGGAGTTACGAATAATTTATTTTTAGTGAAGTTTAGTGAAATCATCTGCTACATATAGAGAAACAGTCGATTTTCATCATAGAGCGTAAGATGTTGATGACGTCTTTCCCTTCTTTGATGAAGGAAACTGTCCATGTAGAAGATAATCTCAGACAGTAATAATAAAAACAAACGTAATAATGATGATAGTGATTAGCCAATCAAATAACACAGTCAGAGTATACATTCCCATTATCTTCCCTTGCCATTATATTTTTCATCAATGAATTAAAGATTTCACTTATCAAATAAATCTGTACAGTTACGTCTTCCTCACATTTTGTTACATGACTCAGGAACCGTAACGGTACCTATTCTACAGACACGTTAAATGACTGTTCAGTGTATGTATACTCAATTAGACCGGTAGCTAAATTCACCTCTAGCCTACAATTCCAGAGACTTCGTTTCCGTTGAGTTTTTGGTCACCAAATGTAGATCACTTATAAAAAGTAATAAATTTATCTTCTAACTATCCTGCCATAAAAACATATGAACATAATTAGTTTTGATAACTGATAACTGTAGTCATTCTATGCAGAAGAGTACAATGTATAATGATTATTTTCCCTCAAAAGCATCCACTCAATAGAAGAAGTTACATTTTAGGAAACATACCATACAAGCATTAAGAAATGTTAAGGTAAGCATTAAAAATAGAAGCGGAAAGACGAAAAGAAATCGGGTCAATAATGCTTCACGTTGAGACAACAAACAGTGACACCAGGACAGCAAATAGATATGGGGACAAAGAGTCCCACATAAAAGTGTACTACTTCGGTTCATCTGCCATAAATCGCAAGAATACAAGCATAGGAGACAAACCAAAGTAGAAAGGAAAGCAAGAAGGCGAACATTAGTAAAAAGAACACAAATAAATGTAGACAATGATGTGCTGTTCATAATTTAAACAACGCATAGTAAATACATTTCCACTATTTGAATAGATTTGAGAAGGAGGTAGAGAGATGTGCTTTATTATACATAAAACATAGGCTGTACTTATGTCAAAATCTTCAAAAGCTTATTTAAACATACAATTCCCACAAGGTTCACATTTTTATTTTTGCAACTCTACTGGTTGTACATGTAATAACTTTCGGTAACTTTCTCTATAAAAGTAATTTTGTTTTAATGAATGAAACATTTCTCAATATTTGCAAAACCATGTAAGAAATGTCTACCAAATATTTATGCTTGATATGTTATGTAACTGTATATAAAAGAGGTGAACATAAACCAAGAAATTTTCAAAATAACGGACACCTCATATTAAATCTAGTTATTTTGAAAAGGGCTAAGAGTTTTGAGGTGATATAATATTACCCAACGTAGTGTGAAAAACAAACTGCCGCCACATCCACGTGTGTCTATCAGTTTACCTGCTCTTGATGAGCTGCTTACGTTGGTCGCATAAACCGCAGTCTTTCCAAACCCACCTCCTAGTATAATCCCGATTGTCTATCTAGAGGAGAACACAAGCCAAGCAACAGTTTCATCCAGTTCCATTTGATCAACTCTAGTCATGTCATTTACTTACAGTCTTCTTTCAGAATCCCACACAAAGTTAAGCTAAACGGCTCTAAAGGAGTAGGAGTTCGTCACTTATGTATGACAGGAGCATTAGCCATGCAACAAGTAAAACCTAAGGTTTGCGTATGGGGAAGCTTTGTCTATTTTTTTATATTGTCATGGTTATAATCCTTCCTTGAGTTTCTTTAATACTTCAATATTCATCTCACTCTTACTGACTGATCATCACAATTTTTTTATTTTTACATCTCAGCTTACTTTCTTAGTCTTAACATGTAAGCTCCATTATCCCATTGAAGTTTGCTTGACACTTTAATCCGACTATTGATTATTATTATTATTAGTCCCTTGAATTCCTAATGGGGCTTCAGTAGCACGTCTCCAGTGAACTCTGTTCGCCGAAATCTTTTGAACCTGGCTCCACCACAGCCCAGAAGCTCTCATTTCCTCCTCGCACCATCTCCTCCATGTCACCCTCGGACGTCCAACTCGTCGCTTCCCATGGGGATTCCACTCGAGGCACTGGCCTGACGCGTGATGTCCCCAGTCGGCTTTCTCAGTGCATGCCCAATCCATCTCCACTTCCTGCTGCTGCATATTTGTTGAGTGATAGGTTCTTGGTTGGTTCGTTCCCAGAGCTCCTTGTTGCTTATTCTTTCTGGCAATCCTTCTGATCTTCAGTAGCGAGTGAGCGTAAGCAGTTGTTGATGAATGTCTGTAGTTTATTGGAAATCCCTTTCGAAACGCGCCAAGTCTCTGAACATACAGAAGCACTGACTTGACTGAGTTGGTGTTGAAAATCCGGATGTTGTTCTGCATTCTAAGTGCAGAAGATCTCCACACTGGTTTCAGGCTAATGAACGCCTGTCTTGCTTTTCCGATTCTGACTGGATTTGACATCCTCGTCTGTCCCGCCTGTAGTTGAAACAATGCTTCCTAGATAGGTGAAGGAGGTTACTTCCTTTAAGTTTCTCCAGTTGACGGTGACTGAAGTTGGAGTTGTTGGTGCGGTGTCTTCATCACTTCTGTCTTCTCTATATTCACCTGAAGTCCCGTTTTCGCTGCCCTGCCTCTCCTGCCAACTTGTTAGTTTTCGCCTGTAGGTCTTCAAGTTTGTGTGACATCAGGCACAAGTCATCGTTGGCGAAATCCAGATCTTCTACGTTCTTTTCCGCAGTCCAGCGTATCCCCCTCTTCTCACAGCTCTCCACTGTTTGCTGCATGATCGAGTCCAGTCGACCACAATGAGGAATATCATGGGGGATAGTAGGCAACCCTGTTTCGCTCCTGTCTTCACTTCGAAAGCATCCCTGAGCTTCCCATTGTGAATTACTTGGCATGTAGCGTCTTCATATAGTTGTTGAATGAGGCGAATAAAGGTTTGCGGTACTCCGTAGTAATGAAGCAGTTTCCAAATCACCTCTCGGTCGACGCTGTCAAAGGCCTTCTCAAAGTCGATAAAGTTGAGGTGTAGAGTTGACTGCCATTCTATACTCTGTTCTATGATGATGCGAAGCGTTGCAATCTGGTCCGCGCATGATTTGTACTTCTTGAATCCAGCCAGCCTGTTCCGGTCGTAGTTTTGAATCCAGTACATCCTTTAGTCTCTCCAGGATGATGCGGCTCAATATTTTGCTTGCTCTAGGTGGACAGGAGAGTGATTCTGCGCCAGTTCTTGCAAACACTGAGGTCTCCCTTCTCCGGGAGTTTGACGAGGTAACCCTTCTTCCAATCAATGGCCAGGTACCTTCTCTTCCTTCCACACCTTCTACAATAGTGGTGTGGTGTGAGCATGTCCGCTGTTGTTTCTGCGTCTGCTCTCAGTGCTTCTGGCTGGATCCCATCTGGTCCTGCTGCTTTCCCGCATTTCACCTGCTTATTTCTTAACCTATTAGTCACCACCTTAATGGACTACATATTTTTGGTATGTACGGTATGACTACGTAAACTCTTTCTAACTCTTGAATGTACCTACTGCTTCATCCTAGATTATACCATTCTGATGACCTAATGTTGACCTACTAGCCAATAACATATCTGTTTTTTTCAATACTATAAATGCGATTGTACAGCTACTGAAAATGATTCACTGAAAAGAAAATTTTCTTCGCTAAATTACTTTATGTTTTTCAATGTCTCAAAGGGACATAGATAAATCAATGTAGAAAACTGTCAGTTCAAGTCTCCAGACGGATAAAAACACAAAAAAGGTTCGTTTGTGAATACCTTAGTTCTAGTCGCAAATTTTATCAGTACTATTCGTTAAAAAAAAGTATTAGAAAACGCGAATTGTAACTACTGCTATGAAAGCCCATACTTGTGGCCCAAGTAATACAGCCTACAGAGTAATAGAAGATGCAGTGAAAACTTCAGTTATTAGTTGTGAATGTTGAGGTTTTTTCGATGCTACCAATAAGCCTCTTAAGAATTTCCAAATTTTATTAAATTTTCTTTAAAATACAACTTTTCCCATTGATAATTAATCTCAGTGTATCGACACCAATCCTTCCAATTACGTGATGTTGTAGACCATTTCTACACTTTTTGACATCATTATTATCATGTAAATGCTGAGTAAACAATCAATTTAGGGCAACTAAGTGGAAATATAAACCGTACAAAATATCACAACTAAGCTATTGAAAAAAATTTACTTTTCTACTAAATACAATAAATGCATATAGATATTTTAGGACAAATTAAATTTATGTTTACTTATTCATTGACCGTTTTGTACTGGAACGTTCCTTAGCATGGCTTGTATTCAGTTTGTCCGTAATGATTGTATGGTTCCTCAGCATTGTGACGGCATCTTTCTCTTGCCTCTTCTGGAGAACCTCCAATTCTTTGGCTTGTTTTTTAATAAGTTTCTGATAGATTTTATCAGTTTGCAGAAGACTTATTGAGATTGGATCGAATTTAGGATCATCTGAGGTAAAATGTATAAGAATATCAAGAGAAAAAAGTAAGTTATTTTTACGAGTCTTGCTATACTCTTGCATAAGAAGGGTTTATTACGAATTAGCACAAAATTAACTAATAGAATATCTGGTTAACTATGGCAATGAAGTTAGGGAAAATATTTATGAGAAGAATAAATAACATCAAGTCGAAAGAAAACTGAAGTGATAGATAAGTTCAAATCAACGGTTTTCTGATAAAAGTGATCCTTGTATTTTGAAGCGATCTAAGAGACCTAATTACTTACTCAATCTCAACGGTATTTCAATCACTGAGTAGTCAGGTAAGTTACTGCACGAACTACAGTTAGCTTCTTTTTGAACCAACTTCTCAATTAAAATGAAAACAAGGTTAAATTCTTTTCAACGTGAATCGAAGAAGTTTGGCTAACTTTAAATGAAACAATCTATAACAACTTTATTAAATAACCTCTGTCGGCGAAAGGATCAAATAAATCAATTCATAAGAACACATGACACAAGTATATAAGAAAACAAGTGATTAACTGAGTATTCTGTATTACGTGGTAGAATGGCTTCAATATTCTTAAAACATAAGTAATTCAACTTAGGTTGACTAGCCAGAAATATAGGATTGCAATAAAAGAACCATAATATCGAGAAAAAACTATCATTGATAAACTGATGGTTACTGGAAACAAATCAGAGGTAAATAAATATAAAAATCATATATTAGGCTCGAAGATAATCGTAATACCAAAAACAGTACTTTGCAGCTGTGCTGAGCAAAGTTGATTGGTGCGGTAGCGAATCTTCACCTACTGAGATGGCTTCGACATATACTACGCATGCCAAGCCATCGCCTACCTCGATATGCCATGCTACAGAAAGTTGGATTAGGTTGAAAGAGAGTTTAGAGTGGCCAGACGAAGACATGAAACCAGTCCATGAAGTCCCTGACCGTTGATCTGAGGAGTGGTGGGAGATATAGACTACCTGGCTAAGGTTCACGAAGCCATGAGAATCAGTGGTTGAGGGCTCATGGTGACACGTTTGGAAATTGGTCACAATGGCGCAGATATTTTCTGAGGCTTGAATATTCGCAGTAACCCTTATCTCCAAATAGTTTATTCTCTTGCGAAACGTTTTCTACTATGGTATCAATCTTTTCCTATCCACTTGTTCTTTCTATGGTATTGCGAAGTGTACCAACCGGAGCTGATGTATTTGTGTGCTAGGTCCCACGTTGATTCTGTCTATCTGTTTGTCTGCCAGTCTGTTTGAATGAACATTGATCGAGATCGTTAACTTTAATCACATCTTTAAAGTAGATTATGAATCCGAACCATTCTCAATGGAATTCGATCGCAAATCTGATGTCAACAAACTACAGTGTACATGAATTAATTGGAAGAGAAATCCATAAACGATATATCACAAGCAAATACCTTTTTTGTCATCTTTTTTGGTACTGTTAGATGAAGTATTTGCAGTGTCACCAGACCCAGTGCCACCTGGAAGAGTAGATCCAGTTCCCTGTCCAGCTCCACCACTGACACCACCACGTTTCGTATTACCAGTAGATGGAACGTCTGCAATCTCAGATGAATCAATACCCATACTTGCAAGCTGTAACAAGCAACAGTTAAAATCATAATAAAGGTATCCAACTGAAAAGTCAAATTATCATAGTGATTATCTGTGTGATGAATATATCCATTTTAGCATGGTTGCACTGACGACATGTGAACCATGCTATATAGATAATCGTTATTCCTTTGACTTGAAAATAACTAGAACCCAAACATTACAAGGGTATTATCGATGTCATTCTTTGTTCACACTGTACATCACTAATCGATAATATCTAACTCAGTATCCTTAAAATGGGACACTAACTTTAAAGCATCAATCATCTTATTGCACTAGTATATAGTCAGTAATTAAACGAGTAATTTCGCATACATATTTGCTTAACACAAGACTAACAGAATCAATAATTTTCATAATATCATTCTTTACAGCGGTCAATTTCATGCTTTGTTTGCTATCACTAGAAAAGTATCGTCGATTGCAAAACGCGATGTTATCACTATATTAAGTAGTAAAGAAGCAAAGTAGTGTAATCTACTGAATGTTAATTGTTTGACGGTAGCCAACCAGATGTGGTGTTACCAGATCTTATTTGTGCTCATCATTAAATCTAACTTGTAAACTTGAGGAAATCAATCTCCTATCTCAAATTTGAACATCAGGCAATAACACCTCGAAAAGTTGTATTTTACTCTTTCTCTAAAAAGTTAAATGAATTCTCACCAACTTCTACATATTGCCCCTGATCACGTTACCTCTACATTTCCTTCAGAGAAGTGAAATGATTCAAATTAGAACTTATTTTGTTGAAAACAATCTTTTCAATCAGTTCCGCCTTAATCTGACACAAATGATACCCAACCCTTTTTATCATTTAAAAACCATTTACAACCAAATAAATTATTTTTAACTATTCTTTTTCAAGCAGATTCAGAATAGATAATTCTTCTAACTTCTGAAGTTGAATATAAAATAGACAATTGAATTCTCGATTTATATTAAACAGGTGAAGAGAGTTATCGCCTAACAGTCAGTTAACTTTGCATTCATTCACATGCTCAGATTTTTCAGTTTCCAGCAACAAAATTCACTTCATAATATATTCTATATGCAATCCACCAAATGAAGTTATACGAAATTTTTAAACTGCATTGATAATATCTTACCTGTTTCATCCGCTGTTCCTCCTTGCTTAAAAACGCTCGAGGATCAGATAAGGCATCAACTAGGTCATTTAATCCTTCAGGAACATATGTTGTGAGAGATACTTGACAAAAGAGAGTAGGTAAAGAGAGTGGAAAGTTGCCTTCAGTACGTAATGATATATGACGATAGCCAGCTTGTAGACCATCTAAAGGTAGAACACGTTGACCTATTAACTTTCCTGTATCTTCATAAACTGCAAACCGTAAAACAGCAAGATCGGGGAGTACAATCTACAAGAATGTTGAAATTAAATAAATCGATGAAAGAAAAAAAAAGAATTATAGTAATGTTAGAATTATTTGATATTTTAGCGCTTATTTTGTTCATCATTGCTAACATGAACAATGTTAACAAAATATTGAAACGTGAAGCAGGGAATCACTAAGTGAGCTTTACAAAACAACACTTTTGAGTCACCGAGTACAATGCCGAAAAAGATATTAATATATATACCTTTAATAATGAAACACGGTGAGTGATAAAAATAACCCACTTCATATCCGTGCATTCATCGCATAAGAAATAATCTATTGAAACTGCACAATAAGTATGGTTTCATTAAATTGCTATCCAAAACCATGTTAAGCAAAAGCATCCCGTCATATAAACGGCTGGACATTATGAAAACAAGCAAATCAACTGTTACCAAGCTCTATATATCATCTCGATAAACTGTTTCGATGACTGGTTTTCACACTTACCATAAATGTTCAATAATTAAATTAATTAGTTCATCTGTTTCACAGTTTAGCACCAAAAAAAAAATTGCCTCTTAGGGGTAACGGAGTTTGTTCTGAAGCTGTTTTTTGTACATAAACTTAAGTGGCCAGTATTCACATCATATGATCACTGAGAGAATGTACCTATTTAGCTGAGAATACTATTAGCCCACATAAATCCTATATAATTATATATACAATCCTGACTAATATGCATTGCCGGGAAACATCATGAGGTAAAAAAGTACTTTTTCATACTATAATTGCATAACAGTAGTGAGTAGCGTGGTGAAACAACTTATCTAAACAAGCGCAAACTAAGTGATTCTGAATGCAGTAACCCACGCAGTGCCAAATCATAAGTGTTGAACAAAGTCTTCCCACTAAGCGATAACTTACAACGAAGAACTTTATTTTGGGGTTAGGCATCTGGAGTCAGCTGAAATGCATCGCTGGACGCAAACTTATTGCTTGAAGTCAACTACAAGAAAACCCATGTTCACTGAGAAACATAGTGACAACCTGTTTCACTTTGATGATGAATGATGCAGGTTTAAATCTAAAAGATAGCTATATTCTTTTCACCGTTGCAGAAACACTTTACAGATGCTGAAGAATAAAAAGCATAAACTGAAGGCTATTTTGAGTGGCTTTAATTATCATGTAACATTTTAAACCTGAACTTAAAGTAAGTACAGAACAGGAAATAGAAAACATGGCATCAAATCTTCTAATTAGTCTCCAACATCCTAGTTATCACCATTCACTGTTTATGGCAATGAAAATAGGTAGACTTATTGTAATATATCAGCATGTTCAGAAACAAGGGGAATAATAAAAAGTATATGTTCGTATGTGTGTATGCAGATGTCACGCAAATGTGCACGAAATTTTACGATTGATTTACCTTTCTAAATACAAAAACAGCATCATCTCCATAAACGGGATTCAATCCATTATTAGGAACAACTCGAGTACGAAATTCTTTACGGATAGTATCTGTAGGTAGTCCGTACATGTCGACTTCAACATAAGTGCCAACTTTGCGATCAGACAGAAACTGACCTGAAATAATTTTGACTTCACATGTAGCCGCGATAACACCATCCATTGGTGATTCAGAAAATGGATCGAATTGTCTCTCTGGACGTCTCATAAATTCAGGTTTTAGTAAGTATCTGAAATAATAAAAAAATAGTTGTTGTATTCGGTAGTATATGATTAGGAGGAAGATTCCGAATAAACTGATGTCACGTAAATTTAATGACAATGTGACAAACTGAAATCTAACTAGTTTATTCTGACAGTCGGCTCAGATAAATACATTACTATATCCAATAAGTTCCAAGAATCAAATTAATATACCTTTTGAGATAACTCTTAGATAATCCTACAAAATGATATTATTCCAAATCAAAATGTCTGGTGATGTTATAGCTTACTCGTTAAACTGTTACAAATATATTCCCCTGTACTCAAAGCGATAAGTTCTTTCATACTCAAGGATCATTCCAAAAAACCTTATTGCGCTGATATTTCCAGTAGCCTAATGATTCATCAGTAGTCAAAGGTGATTTCGTCAAACTTCACATAGGAAAGCGAACAACCACTGATCAATAATATTTGAGTTGTTTTTAAAAATACCGTTGATAACACGCTGGTCAACAAGAAGAGTTGACCGAATAGTCACGTATCTTTCGGATCAATGACCAAACAAACTTTACTGTTTAGCAATTCATTCCAGGAAGTTTATTAACCCATCAATGTTACGCACAAATGAGAAATATAGCTAGAATTAACGTTCGAAGCTATTATCTACGGTTACAAGCAAGATGCAACAAAAACGTTTGAATATAGTACAAAAAGACTGCAATATTATCAGGTGCAGTTGACATAATTTACAAAAAATCATATGAGATATCACTGATTTCTATGATACATGATGAACAGATGTTTAGAAATGCTGTCGGATAGATAAGAGAACGGTGGTATGAAACAGAATAGAAAAGAAACGAAATACAGTAATGTTACTGTGGGCTATAAATTAACAAGAATATTAACGTTGACCTAAAAGATGAGCTGAATTCAAAATTACGACCGGAACAGACTGGCTAGCTTCAGGAAGTATAAGTCATGTGAGGATCAAGTTGCAACACTACGCTACTCATCATCATAGAACAGAGTGTAGATAGGCAGTCAAGCCTCTACCTCAACTTCATCGACTTTGAAGAGGCTATATGATTATATGAAGACACTACATGCCAAGTAACTCACAATGGGAAGCTCAGTGACACCTTTGAAGTGAAGACAGGAGTAAGACAAGGCTGTCTACTATTACCCATGATATTCCTGATTGTGGTGGACTGGATCATGCAGCGAACATGGGCATACGCTGGACCGCGGAAAACAGCCTAGAAGATTTGGATTTCGCCAACGATGATTTATGTTTAATGTCGCACAAACTGGAAGATCTAGAGGCAAAATCCAACAAGTTGACAGAAGAGGCAGAGAAAACGGGACTTTCTTTAAGTGAACGTAGAGAAGACAGAGGTAATGAAGATATCCAACTTACAACTACCACAACACCAACAAGCACCAATCACCATTAACGGGAGAAACCTAAACGAAGTAGTCCCTTTCACCTACCTAGGCAGGCAGTATCGTTTCAACTACAGGTGGCACAGACGAGGATGTCAAAACCAGGATCGGAAAAGCAAGACAGGCGTTCATTAATATGAAATCACTGTGAAGATCTACTGCACTCACCATAAAGCGCGAACAACATCCACATTTTCAACACCAACGTAAAGTCAGTGCTGCTATATGGTTCAGAAACTTGACGTGTCGCGAAAAGCATTTCTAACGAACTACCGACACTCGTCAACAGCTGCGTACGCTCACTTGATACTGAAGACCAGATGGCCAGAATAATAAGAATAAGCAACAAGGAACTCTGGCTGGCAACAAACCAACCAACAACGCATCGCCCAACAAATATGCAGAAGAAAGTGGAGATGTACTGGGTACACACTGAGAAAACCATTCGGAGACATCATGTGCCAGGTCAGGCCCCCGAGTGGAATCTTCAAGGGAAACGACGAGTTAGCGTCGGAGGGTGATATGGAGAAGATAATGTCAGGAAATATGAAGGCTTGTGGGAAGTCGTGGCGCCAGGTTCGAAAGACTGCTGAGAAAAGAGTAAAATGGTATTGTTGGAAGTCGGTCACCATTTTCAGGTAGAATATAGTACAGTTATAATGCGCCTCCCGACAATCCTTATTTTAAAAGCCTAGGACAGATGAAAATTGAGTATACCAGCTAAACAGTTTAAATTTGATTCTTAAGAAGCCAGTGTCACTGCCAATCTGAAAATGCTTATTTAAAGTAAAAATGAAAGTGGAAACCATATTTTTAGATGTAATGATACCTAAATTCTTTATGATAGACGTTAGTAGTCACACATCCTCGATTCTGTCACCTTAATATGGTACTCTAGTATGAAGACGATAAAATCAGGCGGTAAACATTTATTTTTACTGCGTATACTTCCGCTATTTTATCACTCAGTTGCTATTCTTTCGCTTCATAGAAAATTCCTGGTTATGTGATCTTCTGTTGTAACTCTAGTAGATACATAATAGTTTTATTTGATTAGAAGTGATCTAGATAGGTGGCACCATTGGTTAGTCAATATCAACATTCGTCTTGACACTACTATATAACGGTCAAAACTGACTCACCTCATATCAGTACATCAAGATACAAGACAGCAAGATTAGGTGTAGAGAAAGAATATTGTTTCGTTCCGAGTACTCTAATTGGAATTCCAAGACTGCAACTGCCGAAGTAAACCATATCAACAGGTTTGAATACGTTAAGTTCAAGTTTAGTACTCCTCCCAACAGCGTCAAAGTTTTACTGAATCAACCAGCGAAACCTAGACACTGTTAAAAGGGATAATTCCATACTACACTGCTTATTTTATATGAAGCACAGCGATAAAGTTATATATATATATATATATATATATATATATAATACCAAAACGAAATGATTATCAGCAATAAATTCTACTCAAACATCACCCAGTTAAAAACACCGTATCATCGTGTGCAATACCAAATGAACAACTTATTGTGGTATTTGAGACCATGTTTTATCGATTTCAAAATGAAGTGAAAATATTGTCAAGGGATAATAAAACGTATTTATTGGTAAGGATTGATGAGCTCTTTTACTCAGCAGATTATACATTCACGTCGACAAACTGAAAGGACCGTTCGTGAGGAAAATATATATTGATTAGATTTAGTTGTTGAAATGACTCTTAGTATTGTTTCCTTACAGAAATGATTCCGATTTCAGTTCTTGACTAGCTTAAACACTAATCTGAATATCTAACGTAAGCCACTTCGAAAAATAACAACAAATGCTTGTACGAGAAGTGATCAGTATGCCGACCACAAGAGTAAGTACTTTTATGCTAAACAATAAAGGGGGAAAATCTGAAATTCGTTTTTAGCATACTTTATGACTAGTCGGTAAAATGTACAACATAGTAAACCCGGCTTCACAATAAACTGTATTGTGATCGAGGGAAGTCCATATGAAAAGATTATTACTCATTTTACACAATTTGCACGAGAAAAGACTTTCGCTCAAATAATAAAAACAACTTACCCGCAGTTACCATTGTATTCAAATTTGCCTTGATTCAGTTGCATAGCTAAATCTGGCGTCTGAAAATTCAAAGCTACCATTTGACAACCAGCATTCCAGAAAATCTGAAATGTGATTGAAACAAAACGATAATACATCTAATTAGTATATCTGTGGCTAACAAAGATAGATGAAAAGTAAACATTAGCGGTGGTTAAACTTTCTGAAACATTTGGAAAATCACTTGGGTAGAAGCCAAATGAAAATAGGATAAACCAAACTTCAAACAGACTGGAGTGTGTAGAGAAAGCTTGGAGTAATTAAGTTGTTTGTATGAATATGAGATTAGTATACTGTCTATGCATTTCATTTACTTGACTAATGATCTTTGAAGAATATGAGTGATCACACTCATCGACAAAAAAATAAAACAGAAACAGTACAGTTATTACCAGCAAATTGTTTACAGTTATTAACCGTATGCTATTCATTCTCCGGTTTAGTCTACTTATTCACCTACTAAAAGCATACAACTCTGAAAACCAAATCTTTGTTTTCAGAAGAAATCTGTACAACCTCTGTCATTACTTGACCACCAGGGTACATTAATCTTTAACTTTAATTTATTTCAGTTTTTGCGTATTGAACTATAACCTGTTAACAAAGGACCCTTGTCCCCCTATTCAGCTCATATTTCCTGTCTTTTTAATTTTGTCTCCAAATTACCAAGTAATTACGTTAAAAAGTATTCACTCGCCTCAGGTTTTTCGACTGTCATGTTACTTGTTAAATAATCAGTGCATTATCAACATATTTCATTCTGTATGGCATTAAGAGAAATCTTACATAATAACCGTATTCATCAATTTACACTTTCATTTCCTTATTGTTCGCCTCATGAGTAACTATAAATTTATAAATATTTTAGTTAATTTACTCAGAACTACTAAATGGTATTATATTTATTAAATGTAAAGCTTATATATTAGTGTAAAGTCGAAGAAGGAAAGCTAGAAGAAATATTTCTTCATTGTCTGTCTTTCATTACAAGTACATTTCCCAATGATAAATAAAGTGATTCAGTAAAGCATACAACTTTTAGCTAAGTAGAATAAATGTTGAACGTATGATCTTTCAGTAAAATAGTTCTGTAGCAAAGAACTATGTGATGCAAAGTTACCTCGATTAATGCACTAGCATGCATAACCTAAATTCTTCAAGGTTGGCCAGGAATTTAATTTGGAGGTCAAATCGCATACTATAATTTTCTAAAGTTTGCTTCAATAAATCAAATTAAGCCTCTCGCATAGAATAATGACTATCAGTTGCATACCTACAATTGTGCTGCTCTGTATGAAATAACAAACGTTTTCGAACTTTTGAAAATATTTATTTCCTGAAGAATTAAGTTTGCTTTCCGCGTGTTTAAGTAACACCGGAGAATTACCTGAAAATCAGGTCAACTGTATCTTCTGAACTGACTACTTATGACAAAATCCAGTTATAGGGTAAAATTTACTGAAGCAAAAGATGTGATAAGCATTTTTTTCCTACTGAGGCATTCAAGCGGTAACTCAGTACTTCATTGAGTTTCATTTTTAACTGTGATAAAAGACAACCATATAAAGTACGATATACATAGTAAAACAAGTATATATTTTATTATCAACTGATTTCTCCATAGTGTGGCGGTTGGATGAAGTTTAATAGTCTATTCATTTTGATAGTGGAAAATACTATTCTAATTGTCTTGTTATTATTGTTCATGATGTCCGTATCGATCATCAGTGATGTTAGTGGCAGATCACAGAATACACAAATATATGTATATTATCATACTACGTTTAGCATTATTTATGTTCATTAACCACAGCAAGTAAGATAATCACTCAACTGCTTAAATATCTCAACACCATGGTCATTTACTTTTGTATTATTTGACAGTTAAAATCAGCAGGCGGGTTGCTCATTGACACTCGTAATTACCCATTGCTATACTGCTTCCTACCTTGTAGAGCGCAGTATAGTGAATACCCAGGTAGTATCGAGCCATCCGCATAGAAGCCCAGCTGCTGACAGAGGTAAAACAATTCGACCCAGTATAGCAACGGGAAATTACAACACCAATGAACAACAACTGAAACTCATTGCACAAATGATGCCTCCCGCACCCCAGTGGATAACGCTTTGGGGCTTGAAGCGACGGGAACTGAGTTCATGTCCAGGCGGTAACAATATCACTGACTGGGTTGCAGGTACATCTAGGTGACGAGTCCCGAATAGGACGTAAAGTGAGTCATGGATTCCAATGGTAGTCCCAAGTATACTATAACAGACAAAAAAAGAGGTAAAACGGGACTGAAGATCTCCAGTTACCAGTGTTGTGTGATCGGAGGTGAAATTCAACCTAGTTATTACGATGATTTAGGAGCAGAAAATATGGCATACAATCTACTATCCATATCACCTCTTTTCTAAACAAGTTGCTATAAAAAGAGTATATTTTATTCGAATCCGGTGTTGAGAAAAAGCGCAACAACTGTGGTGTCGATTTTTGTAAAACTTGATATACATATGTTGTGCGGTTACCACTTATTCAACTATTCAACAATATTAATTCTTTTTATACTTGCTTTACTAGGTAGTACAGAATTATTCTGCACCTCAAGTGAAGATGACTTAAGATTTCATCTATGCCGCTCATTTTGACAGGTTGAGATAAAATGCGTTGTGATATGATTCCAATAGAAAACACCACTTAGGATTAAATACCCCACTTGACTAATATAAGCCGACAATCCTATGATTATTTATAAAACTTAAACTCTTGAATGTTCTCACAGAGTAAATACCACAACCTAGCTGTGTTCACTGATGTTGCTAACAATAGATGCTATCCTAACCTATTTTTTTCTACATTACCTTAGACCATTTGATTTTACTGTTTCCATTATCTCAAGATAGCACCTATCACAAGGTGTAATGTTGGTAACAGTGAGTTAGGATTACAATGTCTAAAGGTAACAAGATCAAGATGTGACATTAATCCATGAAGTCTAGGAGTAGTGATGTGAGCTACATAAAGTGATAAAGGCTGTCTAGCTGGGATTATAAAGAGATTAGGAATGTATATTGTTCGAGATCCTAATTGACATAGCTGAAAACCAACCACGAAAGTATACATATGGTTACTCTTCATTGCCATTAAATTTCTCAATATTCAAAGTCTTCATTTTTCCCATTCTCACATCCCCAAATCTCAGATAAAGAAAGCCAGAAAGAATCAAGTCTACAAAAGCAACAATTTCTATACACACGCCTCAGAGAATGAATTCCAGTTGGATTAAATACGCACAAAGTATTTTCAACTAATTGAGTTGCTATAAAACTACTCAGACTGATTTTTATGCATCTCTCAACTTCTCAGGTTTACCTTTTCTACAGTCATGCGAATAATATCTTTAAATATCCAGCGAACAAACTCATAGATAATCATTAAAACTTCCCCAAAAGAATTTGCCCTTCTTTTATTTTAGTAAGCTATTAATGAATTCATTTTACTAATGAACTTTAAAGGGTTGGTGGCAGACTATAAAATACAGTGGAAAAGAGGAATTAAGAAAGGGAGAGGTAATGAGGCTAACAGGTGGACACAGAATTCATAGTTATTCCTACTTCTTTTTTTCATTTAATGACTATGAGAAAAATGAGGTCATAACTTATTTTTCTGAATATAAAAATGAACTGAAAACAAAAGTGAAGCAAAAAAATCTAATGTATATATAGTGAAAAATTTAATCAACACTATATAATTTGGTAAATATAATATGAAAGAATAAAATATATCCTATAGATACAGTAAAAACATGGGTTTTTATGTTTACTACTACTGAATTCAACATTATCTAATGTGAGCTGATGTCTGACAAAGTTGAAACACAATGAAGTTCTGCTAAATTATGATAAGAATCAGAAACGAAGAATTCGGAGCGATAACTGCTTTACAGCCACCATCTCTTACTTGCCTATTCATATATATATATATATATATATATATATATATATATATATAATTCAGAAGCTGCAGTCCTCCGAACAAACTCAAAGTTGCGAATTTTATTCTTTGTGCATGAAAGATACGCTTCCTAATCTGAAAGCTCCAATCTGCATCTAACTATTCATTTGCTCTTCTAAAGCAAGGCAGATGGGTAATCAAAAAATACAAGAGAGTTAATACCAACCCTCTAATTTCCTTGCTAAATATTTTAAACAAATGGACTTATACAATTCTATAATGATAGAGTTCTACTCTGATATTAAATTCTAGTTGGGATTGATAAAATCGAAAGGGATGAATTCTTACTAATCAACTGATTAAAAATTTAGGATTGTTTGTCAACTTCGCCGAAATACTTTACATCATCTTTGTTTTCAACTTTTAAACACCCCAGAGACTATTCTCAATAACTGAAACCTAATATGTGTAAACAAAACAATTTTGTAGAGTTTTTTTTTTCGCTGCTTTGAGAATAAAATCATTCCTTGCTGTTCTTTCACCTTTCCAACCTAATTAAATTTATCTTCGCAATCATTTATCATTTTTGTCATTGTTATTATTTACATTTAGTTTTCAGTTACACCATTTACACTTTCTCATAACCGCAACTTATAACAAAATCATACATTCATTTTATCCCAATCAACTTGTTTCATTCATATCATCTGCTGCGATGTTTGTTTATCAGGTCTACTGTTTTTCTTTTTTCTAAGTCAATTACATCATGTGAACGATCATCGAAAATTAACCTAAACTCCTTTGGTATTAAAAATCCCACATGGCCAACAAGTAATATTATTTTGATTAAAACCATTATCATTATTAATTTTATCATTCATTATTTCCTCACAGACTTTAGTCTTCCAATGCCACATACATTCATGAATGCACAGCTCGATAATTATTTAGCTGGATATCACAATGGGAGCTATATAGAGTGAAAGTAAATGAACGTCTTAAAACAACTAAATGACTAAACTTCACTGCTTAAAACTGTTCTGTGAATGACGAATATTTAAGTTTAACAAGGCTAATATTTCTGTAATATGGAGTACATATCATATACTTCTCGTCAGGAAAAATATCTGAGTTAAAATTTGGATGTATCTTATTTTTCTTACGTCGAAACTACCAAGGAGATTTATATCCACATTAACAACTGCAGAAAAGCATGAAGAAAAGTTTCATAGATCAATATACTAACTAAAAGACTAACGCAACTATCTACCATTGTGATGGAAAACTTAACGCTTGAGATGCAGATATGTCGATTTGGAAACTGAAATAGAAAAAGACACAAAATGTTACCGTCATACTGTAACCCATATTACCATAACTAAATGCTATTATTCAGTATGCATACTTTATCTCGAATCCAATGGAAAGAAGGTAAATATTCATGAGTTTTATTTATTACATAGTCACTAGTTATGTGATATCACATTAGACGTAGGTAAGATAAACACTAAGTGTAACGTTCGTAACTGACCAGTCAGCGTTAACTGATAAAGAAATATTTCATTGACAGTAAGCAATTGGAAGACTTTCTCAATAGGAAAGCCAAAAGATACAGATTTAAAAAGAACATGGAACTCTTACCTCCCATTAGCTGTTGCAAATAATCCTTCGATGAGTGCAAGAAAATTAAAGTCAAGACAACAACCTCCCAGGTAACAATCCTTCTTGAAAAATATTTATGGAAGACCTGACCATATGTATCACATAAACTGACTACTAGTGACGGATTTTAAGTCAGAATTACCGCTAAAGTGCCCTATTTAAGCTGCAAAGCTCAGATAAACTCCATACCAAAAACATTCACACCTTTGAAAAAAGACTTACTTGTGGCATGTAATTGCTGGAATCCACACGATTCCCTCTGGGATATATTCTGCTCATTTGACGTTTATTATAACTGCATCATTTATAAATAAGGTTAAGGTTGAGCAGACCAACGAAATACTACACTTCATCATAACATAATTGAAAAAGAGCAAAACTGCCAATGCCATACACATGCACTATCAAAACTAAAACTGAACGATTACAATGAACAAAACACAACCAAACCACCAACAACAACACAGGGTGATGACTAATAATACTGGACAGTGCATATAACAACAACAAAAGGGTACTTGACAAATGCAATGCAGTCTTTCTTGATCAGACCCAATGCGACGCTTTCATTGAATGATGACATGTGATGACTATTATTACGTTCTGCGTGAATAAAGAGAAACAAAAAAGAGGGGAAGAAGGGAAACGACAACGATAACAATAACAATGAGGAGAAACAAGAACACATGCAAAAAGAACAGGAATTTTCAGTTGTCGTTTTTATACTTGTGGTAGAGATGCTTGGAACAAATATCTAGATACAACATTTACATACCGTGATCATAAAATGCGCATACTCATTTGAAATATACCAACTGATATCAGTGCAAAATATCATGCAAATGTCTAAAACAAGTAATCCATCTAAACCGTTGGTAAAAGTGTTTGATAAAAAACAAATACAAATGGTACAATAATGATGTCATTATTATTGGTGGTAGTGACCTTAATAGTAGGTTGGGGACATATCTTCAATTGGCTGAGGTATACTCTACAGAATTCATTGTAGTAAATGTTCACAATCGCATTAACCAAGATAAAGAAGTAGCTGAAGTACATATCGTAAGGTAAAAGATTCCAGAATACCTTGTGAAATATTTATTATCAGTCGAACAACGAAATATATTGGTAGAAAGTAGTCAATGAATATTAGTCGATAAGAAAGTGTTATCGGAACATCAAAATAAAGTGAGTGCATAATCAGTTTTACGCCCCACCACAACATCTGCCTTCCACTTATTCACCCAGAAGTCCAGAGTGATAACACCAAACAGAGATGATGCCAATAGATACACATGCACATAACTGAGCATTTCACATGTTCTTAAGAATACAACTAAACAGAATAACTTCAAAGTGTCACCCTATCACAAAACATTGTTAAAAGCAATGTAAACAATTTTATACAATATACACAACCCCTTCAGTCACATCTCACTTCGAACAGACAGACAGAATCAACGTAGAATCAAGCATACAAGTGCACTGGCTCAAGTTGCTACAGTTGACAGTAGAAAAAAAAGAACAAGTGATAACATAGGAGAAAAAGTTGTGTGAAGGAACAAACAATCTGAAGATACAGGTTAGTGCGAATATTTAAGTTTAAGAAGACATCAGAGGGTGAATACATCTGTGCCAATGAGATCGACTTTCAGCCTTTCACCAAGAATTCTCGACCAGTGGTCCCTAATCTTCCCGAAAATCCCAACCAGGTAGTCTGTATCTACCAGACCAACAGTCAGCGACTTCACAGACTATGTTACATCTTCATGTGGTCGCACTGAACCCTTCTTCAACCTAATCCAGCTTCTCCTAGCACGGCACGTCGATGTAGGTAGCAGCTTGGAAGCAGCAACATATATCTAAGCCACCTCGTCCGATAAAGGTCCATAAACTCATCGGTCTACAGGCCTTTCTTGCCTATTATCCTCCGTCTGACCTCAACATTTTACGAAGAAACCTATGCTCAAAACCTTGTAACAACTTCATATTTTCTACATTTAACAGCTATGTCTCACTCCTGATGATGTTTAACTGAATAAAACTGTACAGCCAGGTTTACAATTTCGAAACTACAGCCTAGATCACAGAACCATCACATTTTTGATGTTTTTCAAGTTGCAGCAGTCATTAGTCGCTTATTTTCACTATAGCTTCAGATAATAATACCTAATTGAGATGTTCAAAAGTGTTAACCATTCAGCTACTGGGTCGGTTGCCAGTGGTTCACAATTTCCAACTTCTGTAAATTCACGACGTGGCGCGACTGTCATCCAAGATCTTCAGTTATCATCCACTTCACTTCCGACTGGTTGACCCAACAGGTCAACCTGAAGGTCCTGAGTTCGACCCCTAGCCGGGTCGTGGGTGCGTACTGCTGAGGTGTCACATACTAGAACGAAACAGCTGTCCAGTGCTCCCAGATTTTCAATGGTTCCCTAACTGATGCCAGTCCATGATGAATACTACTTCTAAATTAAAAATCCCCATTCATCTCAAAAAAGTACATCAATTAATAATTATTGCTTTTAACATATTACCACTAATTTACCTAAATTTTCTTATCGCTACAACATTTATCCACTAAGTCAGTAGAATGTGTTGTTGTGTAACAACTTTAGTCTATGACACATCGATTCTAGGTGTGTATAGCATTCACATTCGCCAGAAAATGCTTAGATCATTCAACCGAAAAAGCAACTTTAGCGCTACAGATATCAGCACAACTATTTTCAATATACAACACAACATAGCATGCATTTCTGAAGACATAAAAATGATAACATTGACATGCATACTAATAACGTCGAAAAGATCAGTTTCTAAATAGTTCCTTTGACAAGGATAAAAGAGTAGATATTTGTTTTATATGGGGAATAGGATACTTGACAAATTCTATAGCTTGATTCTTCAATAACCCCAAAGCCATCGTTTCACTGAATGAAGACATATGATGATGAATATTCTCTTCTAAATAACAAATAAGTGAAGTGAATGCATATAGTGTTTGGAATCGTTCCTAATCATAATACTGATAAGTTGAAGGATAAATAAATAGACATTAATCAACCAAATAGGTAAGGCATTAACTCAATATTATATCATTAATTTACGGCGTCCCATTTGTTCACTCTTCAAAGATGAAATATAATTATTCATATCTTGATCAAAATAAGTTCATACATGCTTTGAATTAAATGACTGAATAAATGGAGAATACATCCAGGTTACTGACCCAGTTTATAGAGAAGTTCAGGATAGGAAAAATAAATTCAATAACTGTTTCCATGGCACTCTAGTAAATTTAAAAGATCAAGTTGATTCGCAGTGGCAATTTCAAATGTTTATGTAATACTATTTCCAACTCTGCCATATAACACACTTTATGCATAACAGAATTTAAAAGGAAACAATCAAACTTCATAAATATGAAGTGTTAGGTTACAACTCTGTCTAACTTCAAAGACTCACAATTTGAAAGTCAGTCAAATTATTCAGGTACCATAAGTAACCATCATCATGGAACATTCAACTAGCTAGACATTTTCCAATGAACCTTAAAAGTATTTCCCTCGGCAATTGGCTCATCATATGTGAGAATAAATTTAGAGCCAAAATGCTAAAAAACGATTAACTGCTATTGACTGAATTTGATAACTGGTCAGCTGTTATAGTCTGAGTGCTGAAAACTATTTTCAGTCCACAAAAATCTCGATTTTTATCGGTCATGGTCTTAACGGTGCTACCAGAATATTCTTTCAACGAGTCTGAAATGAAATATGAACTGTTATTATTGTGTAACTATTCAAGTTACCATACCTGATATGATCACATCAAGGTAGAAGGTATCAAGGTGAGAAGAAATAATTAGGGTATTAAAAAAGAATGATAACATTAGTTATGTAACTAAACCAAGTACATGTTTGTTTAATTGGCAACAAGCCTTGCTTGTTACAATGCTAACCAATTGCTCAGATCGAAGAAGATGCAGCGGGGTTCAAGCTCTGAAAGTCAATTTTGTAGGCCAATAAGTCACATTTCCATCAAAAAAGAGGAACAGAGAGTAAAACAAAAAGACCGGTATGATAATCGAGATGAAATTATGCGTGGATTCATCTGTAGCACTGAGGTCGATTGTCAGTAATATCACTTACACTTTCCAGCAATTGATTTCAGTTGGCACGCAAACCCCAATCATAAAGTCCATATCTGCTAATGTGTACCGAAATGCTGAGCCTCCTAGCTTGTTAGCCATATTGCAAATATGATCGATAAGATTTAGCCTGCACTCAGGACTGGACAACATGAAATTGATTTCTCTACTGTGCCCAATCAACACAAAGTCTACATTTTCCTAAACAACTCAGACTAACAGTCAAAGACTTCAGGTACTGATGTTATGTTCTAGCCTAGCCTTCCTTAACATTTTTCAAGACATGACCTACTTCAGTTAACACAGCATGACATGGTAGACGTTATCTAGACAGGCATAGTGGATATCTCGGACATCTGAGTAGAATAAGGTTCACAGCCTCATCAACTGACTCACTTCTTTCTCCAAAAAGGCAACACATTAGTCATACGTCACAGACGTGGTTGTACATAAAACATGACCTATGCCTTAATCCTTCTCATTTACTCTACCCTCAACAGCTGTGTCATAGTCATGTAGGAGAATAATTTATACTGTTGTGCAGTACACCCTAGTTTTTATGGGCAACCAGATATTACGACCGTGCTATAAATATTTTGAGTTGGAAAAAGCTAACCAAGTCTTTTCTTCCCATACAGAGATTTTGTCGGTCACTAGGGCTGATAAGACTTCCTGAGTGAGTGGAGTAGTCAACGTGTCCAGCCACTTCACTCCCTACTGTTGAAAAAAGCACCGGTGAAATCCAGTCCTTTAGCAACAGTTTCATTTTAAGTAGCTAGAAATACATCCCAAGCACTCTCAATTAACCACTCGAGGTGTCCAGTAGACTTTGCATCTTGACATTGTATTTACCTAACACAACTATATCATCGGTATACTCCAAGTCCACTACTGAGCCTCCCATAACAAGATCAATCCACAAAAAGTGAGATGATGAGAGGAAAACCTCCAGATGTAGGTCGATAGCGAAATTATATAAGATTGGAGAGAGTGGATCTTCCTGATGGAAACCATTTGTCACATATAAACTCGGATAACATACCCGTTTGCATTGAAGAAACTAAAAGACAAGAAACTTGATGAAAGAAATAGGTTGAAAAGAAGATAGGATAACCAGCGATGTCAGATTTAGCCGTACTGATATCAAAATGGACCAAAAATTACAGTAGACAAGGATGACATTAAACCAAAAAGTTGTCTTTCCTCAAAATGATAGCTTTTATGAAACACCGAGATACTTAAATAAAATAAAGTTTATGAGCTTTCCTTTTAAATGGTGAACAAGATATGTATGTACTTGTTACACTCAGTACTATAATGTAAAAGTTTACTTAAACACTCATAGTCCTATATAATAGTCTAATCTTCAATAAAATCTTCACAAGTGGATAACCTGAAGTACAGAAATAGTTGAAGTGGCTTAAGATTCTGTTCTTGGTAGATTACAAACAAAATGCATGTCGTCTAATGGAAATTAACAGGAAAGTACAGTAACACATAAAACTTAAGAGTGGACGAATTTACATAGGAGCATTATGACTAGACGTTTACTGAAGATTGTATGACTGAAAGACATTTTACCATGATTAAAAAAGTCGTTATCATTGTTAGTTTATACCACTTGCGCTTTCAAAATAAAATAACACACTCCGTGTAACCTTCGAAACTGCCCTGATAATGAATCTAGATAACATTGTGAAGATTTATTGTGAAAGTTTGTGCAAGCTGTTTTCATCTACTGGGACCTGAATTATTGAGGCATCAAGACTAAATCAAGTGTTCAACTTACTTTTACAAAATCAAAATTTCAGTTTCATTATGCGTTTACCTTGTAAATTAAGTTCACATAGGCTACTAAAGAGAGAAGTGTAGTCTACCAGTATACCGCTTATCGGATACTTCATGAAATCAACACGTCAATCTAGACATAATACATCTTTTGAAATACTTTGCAAAGGTGTAGTGACAAGATATCTAAGTACCACCTAAGCCTTTGTAATGCAGAACTTCCAAATCCAATTCACCATTCAAAAGCAAAATATACACTCATCTTTTACTGTAATCAGAAGGAAAAAATAGAATATCCCTTTCTTTCTAGAATGATGATCTTATTTTTGGACAATCATATAGCACTTTCTAGCATTCAATTATTTTCCTACTCCACACTGATTCATACATTTTCTGGTATTATTTCCTTGTCGACAAGTACCTGTAACCAGTAATTGGTCTCAAGCATCTCATCGTTTTGTGCTGCATTTTTAGGACTTTATTTAATAGTAGGAAAAATTGGATACATGATGATAAATATTTCTTTGTCATTTTAACCAAATTTTCTCTTCTTTTTATATCCAATGATATTTCTTTTAATTTTAATAAATACCGGAGCAATGAAAACAAGATAACACTAGTCAGAATGATTTCTTCAGTAGAAAGTAAACAATTCTTATTTTTATTCTACGATTTGATGAAAGATAAGTCTTACAAAATTAATTTATCATTTATGTAACCTGAAAATGAAAATGATGGCAACACATAACTACAACTTTTGAGTAGGGGAAATGCTAAGTTTTCTACTGACAATTGAAAAGAATTTAACATTTTACTTTTTGTATTTTCATGGGAAAACAGTTTGTTTTTGACAAAAGACAGAAACATTTAAATAAAACTTCCAATACAAATTATTTTTCTTTTAAATTTCACTAATTCTGATAACTTTGAAACTAAAATTATATAAGGAATTCCAAGATGTAGATTAAAGTTAGTGAAAAAACGGGAACTAATGAATATGAACAGTGAAAGCCGTTAAATGCGTAATGTTCACTATAGAATTACATTCACGCATGAAAAGCTGTTATCGGTGTTAAGATTGCTGATCTTGTTGTTGCCTTTTATGACTAACAGTAAAAATTTTTAAATAAAAATTAGGTGGAACGGTCAAGATGCGATAATGTTGCCGATTTCAGTATATTTTCTGTAGAAAAGAGTTGAACACAAAATTATCTTTTTATCCATTTCTCTTATCAGAATATTATACGCATTTGATGAGTAGTGTAAACCAAATGTAGAATCACTAGTTTCTGTAGTGCAGTAATGTTTTTTGATGGCTAATGAAATGAAGTTTCAGAATAGTTTCCATAATTTAATCAATGTAAAATGGAGGATTATTAAAAACCTGTAAGGCTTGAAAATCTGTTTCGTTTCCGAGGTGAAAAAATATTTTGAGACCGATTAATCCACATAAACTATCAATTAAAGTGGAAATTGATGGATGAACGGATTAATATCCACCTTACAGTTTTAACTAAATCTTGAAAAAAACATAAAACATTAGAACTGAATATTTGTTGAATATTAAAAAGTATTAGGTGGCCGATTTTCCACGTTACAAAACCTCTTAAAAGTGCATACCCACCATTCGTCCAACTGATTAAGCAAGAAAATATGAGAAGCTTAATGAGTTACAAGTCGGTAATTCAATATTCGATTCTAACCACATATGAATGAAATAATATGAAAGGAAACATATGAAGAAAAGAAATGGTTAGCAAATACAAATGGTCTGCTAGTTCACTTACCTTCTGCTACATCAAATCCTTGAAATTTTACAGGTTGTGCATAATTAATAAATGATGACAATAGTGGATGTATACTACTCGTGGCGCCAGTGTAATGATATTGAGCCATCATCATTTGTTCTTCTTCAGCTGTTAAATTTCCCTGGATTGCACAAAACAAAATAATAGCAGTTTATAACCAGAGAAACACAATACAGAAAAGATATGAATAATGATATATAGACACATGACAGTTATCACTTAATTTAACCCAGAGACATTAATATGTGGTCAGTAGATTTGACAATGAAGTGCACAAATGATGGAGTGCTCATTTGCTCAAATCAAAACACAACAACAGCATAAACTTTCCCAATTACTCAAAGATTATTCAGTTGATGTTGGATGAAGGTAGTACTATATTATGAAGATGAAATGCTATCAAAAATCTCATCAATGTCGATAAACATGGAATTTAATCAAGGTAGAAGACTTAAGTATCTTTGCTTAGTTGTTCCAAAACAGGAAATCCTCAAAAGATTAATAGTAGATACACGTAGAAATTCTATTTGGTACTTAACCGAAGCAAGGCAATTGGATTTCTAGAGGTCACAAACAGTGTCAGGTTGATTACACTTTGCGGTACCCTACGTTTCACTATAGTTGAAAAATAATGAACACTCTAAATAATAAAGATGTGTAGTTCAAAGTTACGTATTACTTTATGACCAATTAGTCTAAAAATTCTTAAAATCAGTTTCATATTTTTGAACTACTAACAGTGTAAATGATTTTTGTACAAATTACTCATTTATTCAAAAGATAGTCCATTAGAAAAACTCTTAAAAAGGTAAAAAGTAGCAATAAAAGTTTTTCTTGTAAATTTTATCTCATAATTACGGATAAAATGAGAAGAAACAAGACTGACTGAAATCTTCCACGTCTATATTATCACCAGAAGAAACAATATCTATACACCATCAAATGAATAAACTTACTAAATTTTTCTTCAGAAGTTAAATTAGTAATGGTATTTAATCGTGAAATCATCAGCCATCGAATTTCAGTTTACAGAAAAAGGAACTTTCCAGGCAAACACTCTTAAGATGCTAAATAAGTTGAACTAATCTCTACCATATACGAAATTGTCGACAGATTTTCACCAGAATGAGTCTAACTCATAAAATTTTTTCCGATGAGTAGTCAATTCACAGTATAACATTAATAAACAAATCTCTCAAGAACTGTTCATTCAGTTAATAATTACTAAAAAAAAAGTGACCAGAGTAGGTTAAAAGGTTAGAACGTTTTGAAACCTTGTGATATGTAACAACAACCGAGTCATTCACTAGGTATATATATATTGTAAGCATTATTAGTAGGCTAATAGGACGCTTTCGAACTATAAACTTTCACCGACTTTCTAGCATGGAAAGGACCAAGTATGCATGGATTCTCAGCAAACTAAGCTTTAGGAACAATATCAAGACGCCTGTACATTGGTAAGTGAAAATATAGTAATTTCAGCAAAAGTTAGATTATTATTTATAAGAAAACTTCCAAAATCAAGCGAATCCTATCTAGCTATTCAGAGCGCTTACATACTTAAGGTTTTTATTTTAAAACTGAATAATTCAGACAGTTACAGAAGATCAACCAAGCTACTCTTCTTTTAAATTCTCATGTTTCATAATTTCAGTCCCTCATTATCCTAAATGTTGTATTTGTTCTTCCACTCTTCGGTTCAATATAAACTGCGTTGATAAGTTAGTGTGTGATCAGATTGTTCGGAATACACTGCACGAATACATCTCACCGTTCAGATAAACCGCATCTTGTAATTACAATACCCAAATGCATAAAAGTGACTAGTTGTTTTAAATATTAGAGAAAAATATGTCCTATCATTAAGCAAAGGGAAATACAATTAGCCTTAAGTTGTAAACAACTAACAGAAAATATGATGCATACATATAAGCGGATGATTTTAAATCACTCCATTATACTTCTTCAACTGCTGTAGACCTAATGATTACTGTAAAAATAAGAAAAAGTTACATGCGAACAACAATAGGCTAGAAATGTGACTAAAATAGTGAGCATATGGTCAACTACAAGACTGGCTGTAAAAATAACAATCAGTAGTATGATCGTGAAATCATAAAAGTGGTACACTAGAATGCAAAACAAAAATGGATAGCAAAACTAGTACGACTTACTTCCTCCTACAAAAAGCGTAGATAGTTGCATCGATAACAGATAGCGAAAATATATTTTTATGATAATCCCAATGAAAACAATAATTCATTACAGGATAACATTCATGTAAATTTTCATTATCATTATTGTGATTGCCAGCATGATGCCACCATCGTCGTCGTAGTTAACGTGACCATGATTACAACAAATGAATATTGAAAAGAGCGAAATAAATGAAATTCGTGTTAAGGAAAATACATTCATATATGCTATAGTGTCTATATATATTCGTACGCTGAAAATATATATATATTCTGAAAGAACTTGGTTTAACGTCATAAGCTGAAAAAATGCGTTTAAAACAATAGGCAAAACTAGCATTGAGTGCTCTTTAGAACCAGCCAACAAAAAACGACAGAAACATCCTCCCACATAAATCTCTGTCTAACCTTGATATTCCTCATATTGTGGTTCCAGTGTATGCAAAAGTCATTTCCAAGTTACTAACAGCCAAATAACGGTCGATGCTGCAAAAATCGTCTCATCATTGTCAAAGTTGTATAAGTCTATACTACAACAGAACGCACTTACATAGCCTCTTCATCTGTTAATTATTAATCCGCTGATAAAACAACTGCTGATGAAGTGCACGAACTAATAGTTACACTACAAAGCAACTAGTAGACAGAGTTGAAATAAAATGCGAAGAAAAAACAAGGCTACTTTACGCCACTTGATGTAACCACTTCATGATGCAACCATAAATATTCAAGTACAGAATATTAAGGAATAAACTTCGGAGAACGAAACAATAAAATGGGAACAAATAAATTCTAAGCACTGACCTTTTTCAATTGAAGTCTCTTCAATTCAGCACTGGAACCAACACTAGACTGAGGGAGCGATGTTGCAATTGGAGATACCGAAGAATCCACACCAGTAACCGGTGGAAAGTCCCCACTATTAGTTTTACTGCCTGTAGTTCCATCACCATCTGTAAATGTAGTTATAAATTATAGGACTTGATTGTTTAACTGACCCAGTTGAAGAAAAAAACATGAAAACTCATTTGAAGCAAAAAATTATCACATGACTTTGGGTGAGAAGCTAACAAGCAAATAACTTCACTGTAGCCTCAAATCAAAATATGTTTCAGAAGAAAAAAACTCCACAAACTATTTTATAGAAGCTTCAATCAAACCGAAAGTTTCACATCTGAAACAGATACCTTTACACCAATCATAGATGATCGACTCTTGCACAGACATAAAAAAAGATAGATTTCAATAAACGTACCCTGGGCTAGTTTTCTCAAAAATCTTCATTATCAAAAACATTTTCACTACACAGAAGACTTTGAAAGATGACGTCTTTACGAGTATAGGTGGTGATACATGAGCTCAATCTTAAATAGCATCGATCTTATCAAATAACTGAAAAGTCAATTTATACTAATTTCAACTCGGTCAATATACAAGATGACTGTTTTACAAGTGGATAAATAATATGAGAAATGATTTGATAGATGTCAAGAGATATTAACTAATTCTGACATCACAAGTTTGGAAAACAATATTATACAATACACAAAGCTGCTATATGTAGACCAAAATTATGCTGTTTCATGCAGCAAGAATACAAATGTAGATGAACTACCAATAAGCACTGATTAAATTCAAAGAAACATGAAAAGTTCGAATGGCATGAACTCTTTTTCAGTATGAATTTAGGAAGCCTCAATGGATAGGCTGATGTACAGGACTGTTCAGTTATTGCTTTTTTGGTAAAGAAATTTATTCAAAGATATGTTTGTTTCAAGTCCAAAAAAGTAATTTAGTTTTTAAATTTTTCAATACCTGGAGAGATAATGAATCCTTGATATAGACTATTAAAACGTTTGTACACCTGGTTATCAATTAATGAGTGTTATTTATAAAAGTTCATCGTAAAGGATTCAATCATGCAGTACGCAAGACAGTTTGACCTATGAGGTCTATAAATCCAGTGTTTCTTATTGTTACATTAGAAAAATAGCCGTTAAATTTAACTGAATGTTCCTGATATACACATAGGATAGTTTTCATGATACGTATACAAGAGTACCAATAGGTTGATGTCTTGAGAAGTCGGATAAGCTGTGTAACACTATAAGTCCCGTTCAGCAATGCAAAGATCGTTATCATCAAATGTGGTTGGCCACTTTGAACTATCACTATTTTGAATACGTCGCCTAGGTTGATGAAGACCATATAAGAAACACTGCAATAACCTTACATTCTTCTCATAACCTATCAAATCTCTTGCCAAATAGTGTTCGAATTTGAACAAACTTCTTATATTGGACTTATCTCAGCCTAAACTAATTATATGAATTAGTCAGTAGATGGCAACCAATAGAGTTATCAAGTCACCTGGTCTGATTGAAGTGTGTCGATAAAAATTGCAGTATGATACGATACTGAGGTGTACCGAGTTTAAGTGGTAGGAGTGAATTACCTTGATTTCATGTTTTCTGACACTCCTCAGTAAGGTGTAAATGCTATTTTCAGGTAAATCAAGTCCCTTTGAAGAATCAGAAAATATATCGCAAAAGTGGTGAAGATGCAAACTTCACCCCTCAGTTGTTGAATGTACGACTATCTGTGCAAGTAAGACTGGATCATATACACAAATCAGCAGCTACAGGATAGTTAATGCAACTGGTAAATATCAGTGTAAAGTTTTTTTAGCTTAAATTGGTTTCACAAAAACCTTATTAGATAGTTTCCTGGTCTAAGGAATAAACTAAGTTCAAAGCGAATGAAAACGATTAGTTAAAAATTTTAATAAAAGTATAAAACAAGAATCTTATGAAATGAAACACTAAATAAAAGATTATTTCAAAATAACTCCAAGATATAGGTGAAATTCACTCAACGCATCTTCGACAAGTCACAGTAGTATAGTAATGCAGAAGTGGAACAGTCTAAATATATAAACCAGTAATGTAATTGGTAGAGTGAGTAAAAAACTGAAAGGTGGTAAAGTGTTAGGCCGAAGACAGGATGAATAAGGATTTTAAAAACTCGCCGAGATTGAATAGCTTCTCTATTTAGTAGACAGAATTCGCTAATCATTATTTAAAATTCATTCACTTCTTGACATCTTTCTCAGCACGAAACCCCATCTATTTGTCAAGGTGATGTAACAGTGTACATTACAAATGTAAATAATGAAACCCCTTCAGACAACAAAAGTATAACTGTTGTCATAATAAACAACCCTAACAATCTCCAGACATGATTACCTAATGAAGCTGCAGAAAATAAATGTTAGGCAAATATGTTCAGCATAAAAAAAACCACATCCAAGTAAAGAGTTCAGAAAACAAACGCTGAACTAAATATGCATATACGCACCTAGGTAAAACCAAATTTGATATTAACATTATTAAAGTAAGACACAAAAAAAACACCCATCTGTCAAAGGAAAGAAAAACAACTTCTTCTGAACATAACAAGATATCCACACACTAAAAACACACAAAAAATCATAAAATGTGGCTAAAGCTGAAATTACACTGAGTAATTCTGTTGAACAGACAATGGTGCACGCATGACGTCGAATAAAAATGGTAGTTCAACTCCTTAAATACTCTCAGATAATACTGAAAATATTTTGCATCTATGTTCTGGGGATTCACATTTTCCCAGCACTTGTCAAGACCGATATACACACGAAGAGTAAGTTGACAGAATAACATATAATTTGATACACTCAGAGATCAAATGGAAAAAGTCGTACATAGAGCAAAATATCACCTATGTTTAATATACAGATAAATGACGTAGACATGAATCTATTCGAAAAATGTTATTTATTAACGTGTATAACAGTAGTGAAGGTTACCGCAACCGAAAAACAATTTAAAATAGAATTGAAATAACACAAATGCAAACAACAATTAACAAATAACATCATACACATGCAATAATAATGAACGGAAAGAAAAGCATGCGGAAACTGCTACACGGTACATGCAAATATTTTACCTTCACGATCAATCGCTAAATCTGGGTCTTCCGCTACTTCATTCTCTTCTTGTATCGCATCAGTTTGACCTTTCAAAAATAATTCTAGTTGCTCTGTAACAGTCATTAGTAGAAAAGAGAAAATAATAGATAAAAAAAATGAATAAAAGACAATATTGACTTGATGAGCAATATAATACAATTAATATCAAGGTTCATGAAAATACTAACGAAAACAAACAAACATCCACCTCAGATGAAGGATACAGGAAGTTTGATATACCGACACAGTGAAACAGGTTTACTTCATTCAAATCTCTAATACTATTTCTCACAATACATGGATTTATCTCAGCTCTACAACATGAGAACACAGTCACTGGATATTATATGTTTAATGCCTTATTATCAATCCATCTGCAGATTACATTTCAATAATATCTAACGATAGAATTTCCACAGTTAAATAAAGATGAATATTAACCGAGTATACCAGGGAAATCTGTTGCTTGGTCACAAATATCCTGTTGTAGAATCTGAATCCCTTTATCAGCATCAGCATTATGTTCTAGTTAATCAACGAAGCATTTAATATGCATTATAAAAGTTAATGGGACACCTAAACAACCATCAATAGCATATTTATCCATTGAGCGCTTTTTTGATTAGTTGCTTAACTAGAAAACAGTGAATGATGATTGGAAAACCCAAGAATAGGATATATAAACTACATTCTAGCCATCGGTGGTACTTTCAGTAGCTTTCATTCATGTACATTCTAACATATGTAAATGATCCTACTGGAGTGTTATTTTTCGCTACCCAATGTGAACTACATCAGGATAACTGGAATTCAAGAAATAAATTAGACGTTTGAATTGTTCGAAATATACAAAAGTAAACAGACAAAGAAACGAATCATGACGGAAACCATAAATTTAGGCTGATAGAATCAATACAACTGAATGATAGAAACATATTTTGCTAATGGAAAACGTCTCCAAAAAAAAGTACAAAAGGCATAAATAAAACGATGAAGACAGAAGAAAATAGTTAAATGCAGCGGATTATCTCAAGTATGCAGAACAATTCATACTGTTCCTCTCAACTGTAAATGCATACTAATATATAACAAACGTTCACAATTGAACTGCCACATTTAGTGCTTATTATAATCTATTAAATGCATATGAATCGCATTCAAATGTGTAACAACAAACAGGAAAAGCAATTAATAAACTCAAACACGCGCACATATTAAAAGCTTTTGGAAAAATATGCCTAAATATTTTCAGTTAAATGAAAAAGAGTAATTTTTAGACTTAAAGATCCTCGAGTCAAAAACAAATAATAGTAATAACAGGTAAAACTCATTTCCTTCACTCTGATTTATTCGAAGGGTTAGACATTTTTTCCATGAATAACAACATCGATTTCAGTACAACTGAAATATAATATCGTAGAACACTTGTATGCATTGTAATGTCAAACACAAGAACAGCATCAAAGTAAAACCTCGTACAAAAGCTCATCGGTTCAAGCCGCAACAGTATACAGCAGTCAGTAGAAAATAAGTGGGTAGAAAAAGAGTAAAATCAACTTCGATAAAAGTATATGGGAGGAAGAATTTGAAAATGAAGTTTACTGAAAACAGTCAGACTTTCGAAGGTGCTGAAGAGTGGTTACACCGATGTCAGTGTGACTAATTTTCAGTCATTTCACAAACTATCTCCAACTACTGATTCCTATTATCTTGAGGGCCCAAATCAAGCAGTCTGCACCTTCCTACAAGCTTTAGACCAACAGAATTCAACTTTATGGACGTGTACCATGTCTTAGTTCTGACACTCTATACCTTATTCCAACTAATTATACTTTGGCTAACAGTGAACTTCTAGGTATGTAGTGGCTGTGAAAACGCAACAAACGTCTGAGTCACCCCAGTTGTGAAGCTTCACAATTACATCAACTGATTTGCCTCCCTTACCTAGCACACTTTGTCTAACCTGAACATTGCACATACTATGATCCAGCCAGACGTCAACAATGCTGCAAGTATACCTGTGATCAAGAACCAGTAATTTCTTCACATCGTTTTTTCAGTGGCCAAGTTTCACAGTTATGTGGTAGGAAAGAGTGGAATGCAGAACAGTATACTTGTGCCTTAACAGGTAGTCGGAAATTTTGATGGCGTTAGGGGTGATTTTGGATGACAAACGCCTAGCTGGCCGCTTGTATCTAAGCTGGAATGTCTTCAGCGACCAATACATTTGAACTGGTGGTACCTATTAGGCAAGCGAAGTGGTTTAGGCATTGTACTACTTCACAAATGGCTGAGCTGAATGCAGGTAGGTGGAAAAGATGACTTGTTGTTGAGACACTAATAATACCTCTAAAAATTCCCGTAGTTAAAATTTTTTACCTAGACCTAGGTTATAGCACTCATCAATTAAGAAATTAACTTACTAACATCATTTACTACTTATAACTGTCCTAATAAACATGATGTGGAGGTCTTCATTGCATAAGTAAATACTTAAATGGATTCCTAGCTAAAGAACTCCTACTTTCCCGAAAAGTATAGTCGGTCACAAATCTTTCTGATTTTCGAGTTACCTCGAAATATAGTTTCGTGTGGATTTTTACATCTATTACATTGATTAGTAAGATTAGTTTCATAGTGATATCAATATTAAACCTTAGTTTTATGTTCTTCATCAACTAAATCTGTCTAACTTCTCACAGAATGCATTACAAAGGTGGGGATAGAGAATCCATCACCTGCTAAGAGTGCTGTAAGATTTATATTGATTGTTCGGTTGATTTATTGTCTGCGAGCTGATAAATGCTTTTAGCATGATTTGACACAGAATGCTTTAAACACAGAATCGCAAGCTGTCAGAAAGTAGAAAATAGTATTTTAGCTATGGCACACGAGGCTATTGTGAAGTATCGTTGCATTTTGTAGGAAACAAGATTACTGACCTTCTTCCAGCATGGCTGCACTGTACCGATACATCTCACAAACAGTATTCTCCTGCTTGACTAAAATTTTCCATTGTTGCTAATTTAGTGACACAAATACTGTATCAGACTGCGTAGTACATCAAAGAGAACAAAAATACTTCACAAAATCATGTTACGCTCAAAGTATTGACTGTAACACCATAAAGTGCATCATGGTCTCCAACTCGTATTCATGTTATAGTTTATGAATCCACTTCAAATGTGTGGTATAATTTCTATGTTCGTTCAGTTACAACTGTGAATAAACCAACTGCTATATGCACTGCTCATGTGTAAAATTAACAAGTTACTGTCTTTGTACACAAGCATTAACCAGAAGGATAAAATAGTTGAATGTTGTATATTTCAGCAATAAGATAATAAAATCGAAGATTGACTCCATTAACAATTGAGAATAATAAACCTCAAATCAAAGGCTATGAAATCGTGCTAAAGTGATACATATGAAGTTGAGACGTTCATCCATCAATCCAAATCAACAGAGGACCAGGCATTACTGTTTAACGGTCCGAGTTGCCACAGCTCACATCAGTACATCAAGTAAAAGGGTAATGAAGTTGAAGATACAGAAAAGAAAATTCAGTCAAAGGAAATGTAAAGTACTAAAAGAGAGAAACGAAGAGTGAGAAAATGGCGAGATTCAGTATAGTGTTAAGATGAGGATAATATGTGTATACATTTGCGCCACTGACATCGGTTCTGAGTCCGATCGATGGCTGCTACCTTGACGTGGTGGTCAGGCTTGCATATCACAATGACCCAACGAGCTACGCTGGTAGAACACTTGTTCCCTCGAGGTCCTACGATACCAGAAAGGTCTGCTGGATAGTGGTTAGACGAAAAGCAGTTACGTTGTAGTGTAAATTACTGCACTATGATCGGGATCTGAGGGCGAAGTCGTACTGCTGCTAGCTGGATGGGGTGTGACAGCAGTAAGGTGTTTCCCCGGATAACCAGCAATGCCATGCTGATGCTGCTATCTTAGTGGAAGGGGAATTAGTAAAGGTAAGCCCCAGAAATAACACACTCCAGAATACCCCACGGTCTGCCGGGCCGGCAGTGTTGGCTCATTTGTCGTTTCTTTACGGCCATCCGACGCAAAAACAACAAAATTTCAAAACAACCATAGACAAAAGAGTGCGAGTGACAGGTTTCAAACAGATGTCCGATGGGCTCTGCGGTCACATAAATCTCCTTCAGGTAACTTAAGAAGAAGTAGCCTTCCACGGCATGAGCAGCCAGTTAGTGTCAACCACCCTCACAACTTTGTCAGCACTGAAGTTTCTTCAGACTGCTATCCACCTCCCCACCATTACCTTCTAATCTTCCTTCACATCTCTCAATTAATAATAGTACATCATCTTCAATTTCTCCTAGCTCTGCAGCCTTCGAAAACGATTTGAGTGCACAGAACAGTTGAGACGTTAACTTTTCGGGACCCAGTTTATAACAAAATACTTCATAACTATTTTTATCATACTGTGTGTTGACTGAGTGATATACGGTATCCCTGCCTATAGACTCCCTGAGACATTGACCTAATCGTTCCGACACCAGTTTACAAGTACACAAATACTAAAGCATTTACAGCTAACTTAATAAGAAGATTTATATTTTTGAGACCATCTTTGATAACTTATACATGCCAATAGTAAGAAAGGTGGTTTAGAATCTTACTGAAAACTTCAGAGCATAGGAAGTTTATTCTCTTGAGTGAGTATACCTAACTGTGTACTATATAAAGGTAAATAATAGTTTTAAGCATTAATAAAAAACTTGGTCATCAACTACAAATAAGTTATTAGTTTGCCAGCAGTAATTACAGAACTAATTTGATTAGTATAGTGTTTATCAGGATTGTTTTCAATTTTATTCAAAATTAATCCTGCAGCACTTAATAACTGATAATAAATGAAAATAATTTTCGAAACCCAATGAGTTCATTTGCTGAATTTTTGTTTTTTTCAAATTTTTATTCAAAAGATTTTAATACGGGTTTAGTGATTAGATTTGTTATACTAAATATATTATTTTCGATATTGTAAAACTGAAGTCAAACTTCTACCAATCCTCTGTGAGAGTGAATATCATCGTAAAGTTAGGTACAATTCATGCATTTATTTGTATGAAGCAAGACAAAGCGTGTAAGTATACCAACGAAATGAAAACATGATTATACTAAATGGTCACTGAAATGAACTCTTCTTGTTAACAGTGACAGAACAGTTACGTAGCCACAACGTAAACTGTATTGCACACTTACAATTGTCACTGTGTTAAAAAACTGTTTATTTGGATAGACTGCTAGGTAACCATCAACTAATCATTTAGTAAAGCAAATCCGAAGGGAGAAGGCTTCCAGTAGCATATACAATGTCTCCTTCAGAAATGGACCTAAAGTCTAAGTTTTACGTATTCAAAACAACAGGAACTGTTGTCTAACTCAACATACATTCACGGAAACATTATCAAGAAACAGATTTTAAAATACAAGACGACTGTTTAAAAAAACTTACGCTTTTCAGCCTCCGGTTTTAAGCGTTTGTTTTTGATGAGAATTTTTCTTTTTAACTTTTCGGGTGGAGGCAATGGCACACCAGGCTCTAACTGGGTATAAAGAAAACATTAAATATTTGCACAGAAGCACAACGAAGCAATTTCTAATGGATAGGTCAGGTATTTTGGGCTTTGAAAAAACTCTACTGCAGCAAACTCGGAAAAAAGACATATCAAAACAAGTTACGCAAAAAATGCAGTAGAATAATTCATTAAAAGAGACAAACTGTATGCTTATTGTCTCATATCTTTATCTTTCATTTTAAATCCTAGAAAAAGTATTGTGAAGCTTAGTTAGGTTATTCCATGCCAATTAACCGACAACGGTAACCCTCTCCTGCAACTTTGTTCCGACAATCACTTCTTTCCTATCAACATCAAGCATATAGAGAGATACTGTCTCAAATGGCTTTCGCCGACATCAAACCAAAGGTGGACACCAATAGATCGCATCGCTATAGGCTATCTTTCAAGAGGATCGGTGGAGGATTGGTGATCTTTCTGGAGTACCAGTTTGGACTCGAATCACGCACTAGTTTGGGTTCATGTACGTTTTCGCCTTACTGATCGCAGGTAACAGATAATGATTAAACCTTATCTTCGGTCCATTGGAAGACTAGAGCGTTAAGTCCGTATTTAGGGAACAGATAACTTAGCATTTATCTAAACATGACAGAAATGCTCATCCTGAGGAAACTTGGCGCAATTTAAGTCTACTGTAGAAACAGCGGTTAACCTACACTCGAAAGTTAGATGTCATTGGATTTCCGCGACATTATGCAAACGGAATAATGCGAGAAGGCTGATTCTAACCACGACGAAGAGTGAAATCAAACGAAACTCAGGTTAATCGAGTCTTCACGCTGATCACAAGCAGTGGTGAGTGGCGAAAGGAGAAGGGTAGAGAAGGCATGAGCCGCGAGTAACACTCAGCAATTTATAAGGCTTATTAAGGATACCAGCAAGAAGAAGATGGTTAGTGAAACCATCCCTGAAGAGGATGGGACTTCAACAATTTCTCAGGACAGGCAGCGGGGACGATGGGAAGAATACTCTGAAGTATATTTCAGCTGACCCTCAAAAACGCTTAAGTTTCTCAACATACAACCTGAACCGGAATGCGGCATAGAAATCAGTCATCCGACTTTTTTTGGGATTGAGAAGGGTGTATCAAATCTGAGACAATGTAAGGCAGCAGGATCTGATAGCTTACCACCCGACGTTTTCAAGAATTAAGGTAGGAAGTTGCTGATTAGCCTGACGGAAGCACTAGTTAGCGCATGGGAATCAGAGATAATGCTATTTGCCCGGTCTACTTTACTAACCATCCCAATCTATAAGAAAGGAGAGAAATCTCCTTGTGACAATCACTTAAAAACCAGTTTGAATAATACCTTGATCAAGGTCCTAGGGTCCATAATTATCCAACGTCTAAATGATGCTCGAGAACATCAAACTCGAAAAACCGGGAAAGTTCCAGACGTAGACGAGACTGCATATTGAAACTCTTCATCATGTTCCGGAATACAGGTATGCATAGTGTCGGGGAATACTTGCCAAGTTTCTTGATCTAAAGTCGGTATTCAATTCTTTTCACCGAGAGATGTGATGGCGTCTGACCATCAAGGTAGTGTCAAATACGTATTTTATGTTTACAACAGCCCTCTACTCAAACACACGTAGGCATGTCAAGGCATATTGAGAGTGGTTATCAAAATTAACGACAACAAGTGGGTCCACTAGGGATACCTACTGTGAGCGTTCCTTTTTAACTCTGATATGGATGTACTAAGTGACGCAACCTAAATAAGGTCCGTCTTACTTCACAGGGATTGGTCTACTCCCTGGAGGACATCTGGTTAACCTGGAATACGTAGACGACATTTTCCTGCTAAATGAACACTGACAAAATGCAGTATCTTCCGAACGCCTACAGCAGAAATGCGTCCATGTTTGGCAAGAGTTTTGCACCTGCCAAATATAAGATGATATTCCATAACGGGTCTGCTGTAAGTACTTCCAGTTTAATGACAGGGAGTGAAGCAATGAGATTTATCAACCATTTCACTTATTTGGGAAGTTGCATTAGCTCGAACTGGCCGGTTGCTAACGGAATCTCAGTTTGGATACAAACGGCCCATTTGGTATTTGCCAACCATCCTCATCTCTCAAATCGACTGACATGATAGCCGACTATCTATCAAAGGCCGAATATATTGTGCTGCAGTTCGTTCTGTCCTGTTATACGGCTGAAACATGACCATTAAAAGCAGAAAACGTGAAGTGATCAAAGAATTTTGATCACAGATGTCTTCGTAGTATTTCTCAAGTATGGTGGAATCACCGTGCGAGCAGTGTTAAGGTCAATGGGAGGGTATCAGGCAAGACAGGAAAGCCGATCGATGAGTTTGTAGATCTTCAACGACCAACATGGTCTAGACATCTACTGCGCATGCCAAGCCCTTGCCCACCTCAACGTGGCATGCTAGGGGAAGCTAGATTAACTTGGAAGAGGGTTCAGAGTGACCAGACCAAGAAGTGGCACAGTCGAATGTTTTATGACGGTTAGTTTGAGCCATGTGCAGAGTTGTAGACTACGTGACTAAGATCCCCAAGACGGTAGGAATCAGTGGTTAGTAACTCTCGGCATCACGGTTGAAAACCATGCCATGCCATCGTTAAGTAATTGTCCTTCGAGAATCTTATCTCGAAGCAATTCATTAGTGAGCACTAGATTGATTCTATTTAGAGGTTTTCGGGGATTTCTTTATTGATTTCAGGTTCCTACTCATTAGCTCATAAATTATTGATGCATAAATATAATAGACTGCTGATCTTTGGATTTTAAAATACAAATCGTTCAAAGATGTAATTAGTGAGGAAACAAAATTCAAAATTCAAGAGAAATTCTCAATCTCCTTTGTCGCATGAAAAAAGCGCACTAAATTATTGATACAACAAAGAAAAAACAAGTGAATAGAAAAGATTGTTTACTGGGAAATTATCCAGAGGTTTTGTGAGCAACATATCTCCGAGTATTTCTTCACAATATTTGGCCAGTTTATATTGTTGATGTTTACTATGAATAATTTCGAAAAATAGAAAAATCAAGTATAAATTGAAACATTGAATAGAAAGTGAAAATTACCACTTTGGTTAGTAATTAAAAGTTAATAAAGAAATTTCTCAACCCAAAATATAAATTCATTGTGCTCTGGTGCTGATCCATTATTATAATGAGTCAAAGTATTATGAAAATAAGGATATAGGTATATGACTGTGCGGATATCATAACGGTGATATGAACCAACCCCAGTGAGCAGACAATGCTCTACCAGCGCATATGAGCAAGAAAATAACTAGCACTTTCATATCAAATTAATCGTAAAAAATATACCACTAGAAAATAATGATAAGACAAATTAAAGTTCCTTAAAAAAATTCCAAGATTAAACCTTAAAATCGTGCAATAAATGCATAAGCTGGCGAAAAAAGAATAATTGATGACAATTGCTACTTCGACGTGAATATGAGACTTGAATAATGCAATGAAACAACACAATTCCAGCTCAAACAGTCGTCCGTTGAAGTTCTAGGATGTCAAAAAGCTTTCTTGGATGATGTTAAGATCATAGTATTGATTGTCATCAGTGTAAACAGCTTACACTATGGTAGGTAGATCAAAGGCGAAGTTGCACTTCCAGTTGCATGATGTATGACAGCAGTAAAGTGTTTCCCACAGATCAACAGTATTATAAGCTGTTAGTGACTTTCTTTTATGACTAGGAGGGATTAAATTAGTTGATTCGAAAGAACCTTGATATACCTTATCCCATGGAGAATATGATAGTAAGGGTTTCTCTTCCACAACAGATCTAGCTTATATAAACTGAAATCAAAAACCTCCAAGGAGTCTCAGTCCCATAAACTACTTTATGTCAATATCTTTACCTTCCCAATTAAAACCTAGATGTGTTCAGAAACGAACTTGTAACACAGATTGTTGGCGTCAATACTAAAAGTGAATTGAAATTGCTTTTTTATAAGTAACTAAAAAATAGGAATTATTACATCTAAAAGTAGTAATTATCAATCAGCAACTAGACTGTATAAATTTTTAAAAACGTATTATCTTACAAGCGGAAATTACTTGTTAAAACAAAATCAATGACCTTGAAAATGTTCATAAAAAGAGAGGAACAGAGAAGACCAGCACTTGAAATAGGTGTCCTGTTATAACTCAACAATTATTCTAAGTTTCATTACGATTAATTGTAATATGCATAAAAACATATAAAAGCACAATTTTGCTGCTGTCGTTTTTTCTTAATAATCTCCTTAAAGAGGGAATAAAAATATCTCAAAGAAAAATTTTGCCGAAACACTTTTATATTGCTACAGCACATCATACGTGCCTTTTCAAACCCAAAAAGTCTCACTGGATTGTTTTTCTAAAGATAGCTTTTAACAAGTTTAAGGAAACATCTTATTTGGGGTTGACTAGGTTCAGTGATAATTTTTTTCAGTTATCTGCATAATGTTCCCCAAAGTGAAACTTTGAATTATTTTCTTTTCAAAAATCCCCGTTAACTCTTTTATTGATGCATCTTCTGTGGGTACACTGAAACAAACTGAACTTTTCTTTTGTCTGAAGATTTTCATGTCGAACAAATTGTTTAATGAGATAGGCAGTAGTGACAGTTCTTGAGGGAATCCAACTGCTACAAAAGGCATTACACTCCAATCATCTGACTCTAGGATTCCCACATGTGCATACAAGCTTAAATCATAACCTGCTTAAACCGATACTTTGTCCCTAACCCGCTGCAAGATGCGATATCTGAAAAAGCTAAGAATAGCTGAAAGTATCCAGAAGCAGTCAGATTCTCTGCGAACTTTAAGGAAATCAGCCGACTAAAAGTCATTCTACAGAAATTTTTTCCAGGAAAACAAAGGTACTCCATGAATACAAATGTATCTGTATGTTTTAACGGTCTAACTACGTATTCGAATTTTCCAATTTCAAATGTTCGACATACAAATAATATCTATACTCATGGTAAAATCTAATGAAATTAGAGTAGCAGGAGAATATAATGAATTAAAAGATGATAACTCCAGATCGAATACCTAAAAATACGATCTCAGTAATGCAAAAGATCCGAAAACTTTATATCAGTAAGAAAACATACTACTCAAGTTGTTCAGTAGTAGTATCCCCCACTAGTTCATGACACCTGTGTCAAAGATCACTCCATTTGATATAAGTCGTGTAGATTCTAACGAAAGTCCTATTTACACCACATTGAGGCAGTTGAAAGACTATTCAGATGTAAGAAATGTCAACGTGGACTGTACAATTTGTAAACTATTTGTAAACTGATCATCCGAGAATCGATAAGCACTAACTCATAATCAGGTAGTTAAAGACATGCGTATTTGAAGGCGACGACAATTGTAGCCGTTCCTATCATCCTGATAGTAGGGTTTACACTTAATATCAAACATCTTTGATAGTACCTGTCTTGAACAATCAGTTCAGACTAAAGGCAAACTTTCAGAATCTGAATTCTCGGGAATCACAAATAAACCCAGATTTGCTTATCAGAAACATGTACATGCCTGCCACTCATCAAAAATATACACATATACATGATCATTTCGTTATTTTATTAGTACAACTTCGGTTTGAAGACCACATCACAATGAAAACGTTTTTTGGGTGTATAAAATCCATATAGAACATCCACACATGTACCCTGGTTTCGTTTAGGAAAAACGTTTGTCTCTAAATCATGAAAAAGTAGTTTACGATTTTGCGTTTAGGCTTACTCTAATATTTATTTAAAAAAGGGTTAAAAACTGTAGAGATGAATAGAAAACGATTCGATGTTAAATCAAAAATGACTTGTGATAAAAAAATATTCATAACCTGGAAGTTCATCATTAAGAGGATTCCATTATTACAATCGCTAAACAGAAAATCAGGTTAAATTGAGGAAAATATATAAAGGAAAGGAAGATGTTGCTAATTTATGCATATCTACTCATATCCATGCATGCACACAAATAATCCATATATAAGCAAACACACTATCAAGAACGGAAAACAGTTCCAATTTCTTTTTGAAAATTGTAAGCTGATCATATTGCAAGTAAGCGAATGTGGAGTATCACACATACACATATGAACACAAACCTTACTCAAAAACATCAAAAACAATGAATACAAAAGAAGAACTTGAACACGAAATTGACCAAAAGCGAAAGAAAAATAAAGAAATGAACCTTTCATATACATGAATGAATTTATAAACATTTGAGCGAACGCAGTTTACGTGTTTTTGAGCAGAAGAAGGCATTTTGAACGATAGTCAACAGCAAGTTATCACTATGATTATTACAATTATTTATAACACTCATGCATGTTATGCAGATAAACAGTGTCAATATTGTTTATTTGTTTGTTTTCCTGTCATATCCTAAGAGTGCGATGAAATTTAAGGTACTCGTTTATAAAATAAGAAACGGGAAGTATGAGGAATAAAAAAGAAAGACTATGAAGGAAATAAACAATAGAAATAATAAAGGGCGGGTGGGATGTGAGAAGCAAAAAAGATTATCATAGTTCTGTTCTTCCTCGTTCAGCTTTTTGTTTAAGAAGATAATAAAAGTAAACGAACTGGTAACAAATGTATTATATAAGTTAAAGAATAGTGAAAAGAAAGTAGAACGATACCGAATAATCATCTAAACTAAATCCTATTATATTGTAGTCTACTTGGTGGCTAGCAATGGAATGCAGGATGTATGTTTCGTCCCATTTGGGAGTTGCCTGCTGGATTTACCTGCACTCTAGTGAATGATTTTGTACCCACTATGACTCGAACCCAGTACCCACCGCTTCAAATACCAAAGTATCACCACTGGACAACTGATGCGCAAACAAATAGACTACAATATACCGAAAACTCGGGCGGTATCGAAGCATCCGCATAAGAGCTCATTTGTCAACAGGGCTCGAGCAATTTGACCCAGTACAGAAATAGAAAAGGACAAATATCAATAAATAAATTATATTATCCCTAGACAAAGTTTTCAAATTCGATATGAGCATATTTTATTAGAGACTAGCGGTAAAAACTAGAGGTTTCACTTTAGACTGATGAAAAAGGTTGATGTAGTATCTAGATGGTCTAAAAGCCAATAGTAATCGCTTCAAATACTTCAGTATTATTATCCGCTTGAAGATCATTGAGTGACAATCGTCACAACCAATATAATCAAAAGAAAGGCTTGTAAGTCAAGCAAAAGGTTTATATTGAACCAATAGGTTATATCCTTGATAAGTAGAGATTTTTGCGTCAAAGTTGCAAAGGTTTACTTAACAGATTGCAACTGATTAGAAATTCAGTCAATAATAGCCAGAAAAAAATACACATTACAAAACATGACAATATACATAGACACTAAAATTAATTGTTAAATTAATTATGTTCAAGCGTTAAGCTTGGACATGTCTTGACGATAGGCTTAACAAAGTTCTTTCTATTGATTATTATCATGATTTTTATTGTGCATGAATCAAGGATGTGTCTGTATGCTTACTAAATTCTCTCTACATGTCAACTAAACGTAGTAGTCAAATGCATCATAACCATTTATTTGGTTATCGTAGCATAGACAAACATGATTGACACTTTAGTATTCCTACAAGGCACTAGTGTTCATGTGCTTTATAGCTGAACTGCTTCGAAATGTAGGGACAGTCTTAAGTTCCTGGATGCCTGGAATATGTAAAACTACAATGAAAGTTTGTTTGTCCTTTGAGAGACTATCACAGACAGAGAGAGAGAAAGAGTCCATTACGAATTGTGATCTAGTTCAGCACATTAACTAAATAGTATTACGTCAAACAATCAATCAGTGAATGAAACTTCTAATCAAAAGAAATCAATGCATAGTTCAATCGAACATGCAACAAGTGCAACCAATTTTGCAATAAGCCATTGTAGCGAATTCGGGTAAACATTATCATAAGTAAAGAATCAATTGGGAACGCCTTATCGATTATTATTACCTTGCCAGCACCCTACTTGTTATTCAAAAGTGATCATTTGGTTATCCATGAACCGGAAAATAAAAAAAACCAACGCTAAAACCACTACTAATGGTCAATGTTGCGCTATGGTCCCTGACTAAAATTCGTCAGTAGTAGCTGAACACTTTGAAATGAGAGATTACTGTATCCACTGTTAGGTATAAGCATTAAAAAGAAAAGACGTTAGACTACGTTTCTTCCTAACAATTAAAATGCCTAAGTGGATGTTGATATATTCATCTTCTTGTCTGGATTCATAGTTATCCCGTTCAACAGACAATATTTTAGATGTCTCGAACAAAAACCTAAAGAAATTTATCATGCTTTTTGTATCTTTCAGATGTCAGATAATGCTGCAGAACAGGTTTGAATGACACTCAGTTAAAATAATGAAGAATGAAATTGTCAACTTAATCGACCAGATTACGTATTTTAGAAGTTTGTTAAACGAACAGATGTGACTTGAAATCTCGTTTTTTTTATTTGACTACCTAAGAGCCGTATTTTATTTCACGGTAGTGGAGAATGCTCGATGACTGTAGCATAAATGATCAGATGACAGGATATATACCACTGGTGGTATTCCTTGCTTCTGATCAAAATACATGATGAGAAGTGGTGAGAACTACACAGAAGTGTCAGATCAGTCGATAAAGATATGAACTTGCTTCGGTTGAAATGGCTGAAGTATACGACAAATGCTAAGCCATCATTTATTACGAGGAAAATATTTACACCGTATTATGACTAATGGCGAAATCTAGAAATGTTAATTACATCAATATTTTAGTTGCTACATCTATCGTTTTTGATTCAAAGAACTTCGATAAAATTACATACACGTGAAATTCTGTCAACATTTATCACCCTACATGAATTTGTCGTAATGAGTTACTAGTACACTATGACTATTCCTATCCATCATTACTACTGACCTTCCAGTGAACTTAAGTATGTTGAATTTTCGATAAAACCATGAGTATTTTCTATCATAAAAGAAGCATCATAGAACAGTTTATCATTTACACAAGATTTTATTTTCATCTAATGACATTAAAAATTTTTTTAAACTTGTCTTTAAGATACATGGACATACAAACATTATTGCAATATACAATATACCAAAAGACAAAACTAACCTGCAGTGGTTTTCAAAAGACATTATTACTGGACAGTCACTTGCTACGAATGCTGTATCTCTAATTGCATATATTACATCCTATAGGAAGAAACGAAACAAACGAATAAATCATGAAATCATCTAGTAAACGAAGACGATTTCGATTTTATTTTTTGTTCATCATTATGTAATATGACCGAGTAATAGGAAAAAAACAAATTCAAATGAACTAAATATTCCATACTAGTGTAAACCATTCCACCATGAAATACTAGTGAAAACACTTGACAGTCAATTTAAGCTTTCCCTAATCCAAATAAATTGATGCCTTTGTTAAGCCTAGATATAAATTGATATTCAATAATCTGCAAGCCATAGCGAAAATGTATCACGTTTTGATATTAACTATTCCTTTATTAGATACATGTTAATGATGAAGCATAGCTTCATATAAATCAGATGCCGAAAGCTCAATCTTACAAAGAGTTGGGAAGAAACTCAGGTTACCTCAACAATTATAATGCAGTTCTCAATAACTTTTCGTCTGACTTGATTGAAGTAAAATTCAGTATACTGAGGTAAAAACGAATTCACCATATATCTGTGACAAATCTTCGATGAAGCAAAATAATTTACATCCCTGCTGAAAGCTCTAAGATAATTTCACACATATTTTTGAAGAATCTCAAAGAAATACAAGCAAATAAATTGAAAGCTTTTACAAATGAAACGTGAAAAACAGAGTACCTATTCCACTTGTTTGTAACATATAACCAACTTTCTATCGAGAAACTCTTTTAAAAATCATCATTTTCAGTTAGCATTGAATGGATGACAGCTGGCTAAATAAGCATGGATACATATGTTACGTAACTGAGGTGAGGAAAAGCGTTCACTTCTGACCACACTAAATAAATAGGGTGAAGAGTATATACATGATTAGAAGGGATAACGACAAACCAAGGTACCCAACTCAGTTGAAATTTTCACGAGGGATATAATATTACTCTCAAAAGGTCCAAGGACTCGAATATACAAAGTTTGATTGCTTATGGAAATCTATTATCAGGTAACTGTTCAACTTACAGCTGACAACAGCACAACAGCCTATCAAGATTTCAAATACACGTTACTGATAGATAAGCATGGATTTAAAATCTAGGTCAAGATTTTCCTGTCAACTTTTGATGCTTAAGGTCAAAATTAAAAGTTGTATGACATAGAGTCAATACTTCATTTCCTGACTAGTCAATTTAATTTACCACTACTTACAGATGTAACCAACTGTTTTCTGTTATTCACACTCAATACATAGATTTTCTGTTTCAAGCTAATTGTAAAGCTTGAAATTCCCGAAACAAAAAGCTTACTGGAAATAAACTCAAATATTTTTTTAAAAAATAATTTCAAATAACTGAAAATGCACTTTCAAGTAGTTTTGAAAGATATATAACGACGAAATACATTTGTAAATTAATTATTTGATCCATGATTAACTGTAATTCGCTCTAAATTGCAATATGTAGTTATGACATACAATAAAAATACTGAACTGTAGTATACCTCACTCGGTTTAAAGATTGGATAAAACATTTCAGGTTGGTATTCATCATGGACTGATATCAGTAAGAAGAACACTGAAAACCTGGGAGCATTGGGCAGCTGTTTCGTTTTGATATGAAACTCCTAGACAGTGCGCACCCACGACTCCATCAATGGTCGAATCCAAGAAACACAGGTTTCACTACTAATACGTTACCCCCTTAGTTGTAATGCAGTGGTTCATATCCCCTCCTCATGTTAAATTATGAAGGTCCAGAGTTTGATCCATGATAGGATCATGGGTTGGCACTGTTGGTTGATTGGTTTCAGGTTAGTATTCATCACTAACTGACACCAGTTTGAGAAACATAAGAAAAGTGGGAGCACTAGACACCCCGCCAGGGATCGAACCCGCGACCTTCAGATTCCGCGGCCAGCGCGTTACCATTGAGCCACTGGGTCGTGGGTGCACACCGCTGAGGAGTCCCATACTAGGACGAAACAGCTGCCCAGTGCTCCCAGATTTCCTTTGTTCCTCCAACTGATGTCAGTCTACGGTGAATAACAACTTGAAATATTTCCAAATCTCTACAACTCCCTCAAAACTTAATGTTTTATTACTGATCTCAGATGAAGTGCACAAACAGAACATATTAGTGAAAACTTTCTAGAAAAGATAACAGATATATCCTAAAGATCTTAACTGATCAACATAAAATATTGATCTTTAGTGAATAAATGGATACTTTTTCAAAAATGCTCACTGATACACTTCAGATGAAAGTTTTATATAAACTTCTAGTGCAATAAAAATTGGAACACTACACTATTCACGGTAATTTAACTGGCTTAATATTAATACTTCGTAATATAAAAAACAGCCGAAGGACTTAGGTCAAATGAAATGTTCACTCAAGTGGAGAAAAAGAAGTATCAATCAAAAAATCATAAAAGTGATGCAATCTAAAAACCATATACAGCTTCACATACTAGACTATAAACAAAATATACTAACCGATGGCAACAACAAATTCTTACAGAATTCCAGAAAGGTTGGGAACTAGAGTTCTTTAAAGTGATCATTCATACTGAGGTCAGTTTCTTGTGAGAATACTCTGAATACTTCTCTCACATAGATTTCATTTGCATTTCAAAGTTACATTGCTTTATTCAAATAAGCAAACTATATATACTTTAAATTCTCAGGAACCTAATACCTTATTATTGACCATAGATTATTAGCCTACGAAATGACTGTCTTCAGAATCTGTCAAAAAATACACTGCAAGAGATACTCAAGAATCAACTGTTCAAAGCACTGAGGAAGACGTTCTCTTCCACCCAGCCTCTCATTTTTTTCTCCAATCCGCAACTAGCTCTGAGGTATGTAAAAAAACAAACTCACGCTTCAGGCCACCTTCATGTATGTTAACTAGTTGACCTTCTCCTGGAGAGCTGGTTACATAACCTATACAAAGTGTGTTTTATCTAAATGCAATCGCACACAATATCCTCCAATTCCCTTCATGAGATTTTTGCAAAGTCATTAAGAAACTGAAGTCGAACATTTCAAAGAGAGTGTGTATTAGCCACCTAAACACAACAGAAGCTTAGTCAATCCAGCGGTACAATCCTGATCTTTGCGTTTAAAAAAGATATAATCTATCGGTAGTTTTAATTTGGTCGTGATCAGCCTAAGACAGTTCATTTATTTCATTGTATACCGTTTATTTATTGACTATAATCGTACAGGCAATTTTTGATGACCTTGAGTTTACCATCTAGTCGCTATCACCTTGTGACTTTATTGACCGTTTTTGATGACTTTGTATTGGCCCGTTAGCCATTTGATAGATAGATATACTTTGTTGTAAATATGATCAAGATGTACGGCTTTTGAAAATGATCCGACGGAAAGATTTTCTTTCTGGATTGTCTTTTAATTTTTTATGATCTATTCGGACTATTTTGACAGCCAGTGACTTTTTTCCTGCACAAATTTTCCCCTACACAACTAATCAACCAGCCCTTACTTCTTAACAATAAAGTAACATTGCGCTCCTAATTTTCTGAAAAAATCTATAAAAACGTTAAAGACACTGAGACTCCATAACGCGCCCACGATACGCTGATTGAAATAAATATCTTTAAATGTTAAGAAGCATAAATATCAGTCATATTTTTCATTGCTATTCAAAAACTTTTTCTTAACACATGGCTTCAAGGTTACTAAGACACTGAGGTCTCATACTTTTTATTTACTTTTTGGTGTACGCTTTAGGCTTTAGATAATTCAGAATGCGTATAAATTCCAGGTGTCTACACACAAGTAGTTGAATTTCCGGCTTAGCGATGCAAAACATTTCTATAACCTTTATCTACACTGATTGTATAAATAAGTAATGATGTTAAGGAAATCTTCGACCTCTGTATGATGTTATTGGAAGAGATAAATGATGATCTCCTAAATGGCAGTTGCTGGTATATTTCTAATATTCAAAACAGTTTCAAGTGAATTATTACCATTACCGATCGATAGTAAGGACCTCACTCAACTAACAAATGAGACAACCGTTAAACGCAGCGGGCTCCTCATCACTAAAATCTGGACGAAGATCAATCACAATCCCCTAATATTTTCAAAACAACACATCACATTTAAAACCGGTTTGTAACATAGCCAATGGAAAAAAGCTTAAAGCAGTCAGCACAATTCAACTAATACTGACTTGAAAGCACTGTTAGTGGGTACTGAAAACACTGAGATGACAGTCCTAGTGTTAGACAATACTAAGTTAACTTCGTAAGTCGACTGATCACAATGGGAACTCAAAGTGAGTGAGATGGCTGAGAAAAGTGTCAAAAATTAAAGCCATCATTTACTGAGGAACGAAAGGCAGGCCTGTATGAAACTTTGGTCTGAGATGTATAGGAAATCATACGTTATCTCGCTGCATTCTCCAGAATAGTACATACCTCTTGCTATACGCCTAAATTGAAACAACTGAAGTGCGTCCATCGCTTCTCTTGACCACCAGATTATTTTTACAAATGCGTCTTCTCAAGTTTGTCTTGTCCCATACTATTACTCTTCATGATATAAGAATAGTAACTTATGTCGAATTATTGTCAATTTCATTTTGTAAAATGTGACGACATAAACAAATTTGTTGATAAGTGGGAGTTTACACTCTTCTCCGGCTTTCTACACCTCTATTGTAAGTAAACACAAGATAATCATGGAGTATATTATCTGCGCTTGAAGTCTCAAATGACAGACGAAAATGATCACAATCAGGAAACAATTATATGTTCCCATGGTAGCAGAAGAATATATACATATGTGTAAACAACAGACTATCCTAGATACCATTCAAAATAAGTGCAGATATTGCAACATGACTTTTCGGAAAAAACTATTTCCAGGCCAAAAATAATAACTCCTAATTAAATATTTCATGAAATAATACGTTAAAAGAAGGCCAGTAGTATCTGGAACCATATATAGGGGAAAAATGAATGAACACCCTTTATCCGGACCTTATTCTATAATGACC